TGTGAACTCGAAATGACCAAGAGCAGCTGAATGTGCACGCTCATTAACAAGGCTCAAGGCAATGCTGTGACACCTTGACGTGCACAATTCAAACCAGCGGACCACAAGTTTTATGAACCACGCTGTTGTCTTGTATTCTGGCTTATTAGGCTTATCGACTAATAAAACCAGACCAGATGCTGTACAGTTGTTGAAGATAGCTTTAGCTCTGCCACCTTGCATCTTCTCAAAGTGGCCTTTCTTCGTTTTGTCTTCCAGGATTCTGAAAGCTACCTTCAACTCAAACTGTGATTCATGCTCCATTAGCTCTTTGATGTGATCCCACGCAGCAAAGTTGGATGGTAAATTATTTTCTTCAACAATGTCTTGTGGGAAAACTATAAACTTGTATGAGTGGAGGCATGCTATAATATTCTTGAAAATATGAGGAACATCTGGCAAAACATGGAGCCAACCGTTGCTCTTCTTGCAAGGGTGTTTGACACAGGTTCTGACAGGCCCGTTACGCTTGGCAAAAATCCCTAGCACTCTCCAGAGAGCCCTGTTGTCAGAACCCAGGTCACTGCTGATGGACGACACTTGTATTCCAATTTCTTGACAGCGACTCAGAATCTGGCAAAAATCCCCAGCACTCTCCAGAGAGCCCTGTTGTCAGAACCCAGGTCACTGCTGATGGACGACACTTGTATTCCAATTTCTTGACAGCGACTCAGAATCTGGCAAAAATCCCCAGCACTCTCCAGAGAGCCCTGTTGTCAGAACCCAGGTCACTGCTGATGGACGACACTTGTATTCCAATTTCTTGACAGCGACTCAGAATCTCGACTATGTAAAATTCAGATGCTGCAAAGTCGTTGCTGACTCCTTCTTTTCTGTTGCCGGTGTAGAAGTAGCCAACGACGACTTTCAAACGGGAACTGACTCCTGCCGGCATGATAGCCAGAACCTTTTTGGCAGGTCCCTCATGACCTGGCTGGGTGCACTTCCCAATGGGCGTTTTAGTACTATGATCATAACGTTTGTCATTCGGCTCAATGGACATTTCATCGAAGCATATGTGAGCATCTTTTTCATATGTGTTGAGTTTCGGAACCACACTAGATAGCTGCTGGAAAACTAAGAGTAAAATACCACTAGCAAATTTGAGAGCTTGGGTTGTCAAATTCAAAGTGCGCACAGCTGGTAAGCGGAACCTTTTTACAACTTGACTTTACTCACTTGTGCCACACTGACTCTGGTAGTACAATCCTTCAGCTATTGCTCCCATTTTCCTCTTCATCCCCATTACAGATCTGCGACTCAGACTGTTGATTTGGTCCGGAGACAACACTTTGCTCAAATTTTCCTCTTTGCGCAGAGCTTGCTGTTTTAACTGATGTTTCTCCTTTCTGTCCCTTGCAGCATTTTTTCTGAGATTACACACCTGACTTGTTAATGTTGAAACCTCTTTCTCAAGATTTTCAGCATAAGCAGCTTGAGACAGAAGCATTTTGTTTTCCTCTTGAAGTTCTTTCAGTCGTGCCATCAGTGCTTCATAGCTGGAATTTTCCACTGATCCAATTGAAGTAGGAGTTGAAGAGGAAGATTAATGAGGAGATTGAGCAGGACCTGTAGGAGTCTGAGGAGGGCTTTTGAATGAGTGGGAAGAAGGTGCAGTAGAAGATGATTGATGAGAGGTAGGAACAGAAACTTCGGGAGGAGTCCAGAGAGAACGATGAGGCGGTGGGGAAGCAAAATATGTGTGATCTATCAGAGCTGCACTGATTGAGCTGACGCAACAATGTCGGCGAGTCCGATCCCCGACGCCTCCATTTTTTCCACCAATTCTTTGACGGCGTAGATATACTTGTCCAGCGATGTGTACTTGTCTTGGCGGGCGTCCAGAAGCCGATACAGGAGTGCAAGTTGTTGATGGATCCCGGATCCTTCGTACACATTACACAGAGCCTTCCAAGCCTCCTTTGCACTGGTGGAAGATCTCACGTATTGAAGTGGAGAATCCGCTAAAGACAAGCAGATCTTGGACCGGGCTCAGTGGTCCCGCTGTGCAATAACTTACCCACTGCCAGGCCTGTGAGATCCGCTCCGCGGTCCGCTTCATTCCCCCATTTCCCCGCTGAGCAGCCACGGGGTCGGTTGAGTCGTGGTCTTGAGTGAGGCAGTCAGTGAGCCCCTCCACGCCAAGCTGCATCTCAACTCGGAACTTCCAATTTGCCCAATTTTCTTCCCCGGTGAGGGGTGGAGTTGGGGGAAGATTCCCCACGATGGTGGTGATAGTCTCCATACTGCCATCCGCAGATTGATGGCTATGTTGTCGGCCGGCTTGTTTCGGAGGCATAAATGCATAGAACTTTTTTCTGTTATTCTTGTCCTTGCAGTGTGGATATGTGGAGTGCACTTCAGCCACTCTCTTCAGACTCAAAGACAATCGTTGTGTTACCTCCCCCTGTGCATTAGAATATTGTAAGATTTGAAGTTGTTTTCACTCACTCCTAGAGTAAACCATACAGTAATCGGCAGGGACACAGTTATCGTCATCTCGGCGAATGGTTGCACGGTAAAAACGGTACCTGGTTTTCCCAGGAAGCCTATGGTAGAGACATAGGCGATTTCCAGGGAGTTCCTGGGAAAACCAGGTTCCGTTTTGACCGTGTGGGTGCTGCTCTGCAAGTACGCGTCCGTCAGTGATGCGGCCAATGCAGGTCGCTAGAGACACCTTTTAAGCATACAGCACCGAGAGAGCACCGCGTTCGATTGAGCATGTCAGCCAACAGAGCCATGTTTCTTGTCAAGTGCAGTATGAGGCCGCTTCGGCCGCCCGTCGTTATCTTCTATGCTGGGCACTGGCTGTCTGAACCTTATTAGGGAAAAGAGGTTTTCAATAATATCAGATGTAAAGCGTCCCAGTTTGAGGCTATTGTAACCTCTAACATTAAGAAAGTAATCAATTAAATCAAGAAGACCACCACAGAGTACTTTTAATCCCCATTGACTAGGTTACCAGTAACCTTCATTCCCTATTTTCACCTAGATAAAAACAAGATCTACCGTTTTGATTCAATACAATTGTCATATGCTGTACGATTGTGCTTTGACACAGCCAATTTTCTTCTACGGCAAGTGACAAGTTCGAAAAATGTATTCATGAGAAGTACAAATCAGAAAGTAGTGAGGTAGGAGTCGTCTTCTGTTTCTTCAGCCATCCTACGAAGGCCCACTCCAGCCCTGTGGCAGAGCACTGCTCTTGCAGTAGATGTCTTCATTTTTAGAAAATGTTTTCCGCAGTGAATGTTGTCCGGTTTCAGCCTGTACGCAATTTTTAATTCAGACCCAGATTCAAATTCATAAACGTCTTCAATATGTCTATGATCAACAACATTTGAGGGGAGCTTTTCTCTCTCCACAATTTCTGGCGGTAAAACAATAACTGTGTTATTGTCCATGGCAGCTTTAACACACGGAGAAAAAAAAGTGGGTGTCGCAACGACAAAGTACGTGTCCCACGTACTTTTCGTGCGTGGTTTTGGCCTACGTACGAAAGTGGGTGTGGTGGCCACTTTTTGTGTGTGGGGGCTAGGTGGGTGGGGGAAATACGCGAAAGTGGCCGTGGTGCCCACTTTTCGCACGCGCAGCACACATGGGGTGAGTAGGAGAGGTCATCGTACGTAGCCGTAGAGCTTGCGTTCGGTATGCGCGACATGCAAGGGATGGGTAGGGGACCTTCCCAAAAATAGGTATGGAGCCTGCTTTGGATACGCGTGACAACCACGGGATGAGACCTCAGGAGATACTTTAGTATTTGTGCTGGATGTACGCAGGTGCTTGCCGCAGCTTTGCAAAATGGTTGTTGCAGAAATTATTAAGTATGTGTTACACATGTGAAAAGGAGCTGGCATGTGTACTTCAGAGTAGCAGTTTTATTGGTTTAGGGCAAAAATATGGGATAAATTATCATAGGTAAACGCAAGTGTATGATATAAAAATTTTATTGGTGACAATGCAGAGCAAGTTGTAAAATCAAAATACAAACTTAAGAAAATGCATAAGTGCTTTCAAACCCTTAAAAGTAGTAAGTAATATGTACTTACTTCTGCTTCATTTGGCATAAATTCCACTAATTTTTTTGCCAGATAGGTCAACCTCTCAGGTTTCAATCTAAACAGGAGATTAGGCATTGGATAAATTAAAACAGAAAGTAATTTGTATCATTCCAAACCATAATACTTGCCCCTTTGTTTTGTTCTTATCAATATCGCTCAGAATGACTTACTCTGCCAAGTGATTTCTTGAGTTTTCATTCAGAGCATTTTCATCATACAGGGCTTTAAAATAGTCTCCGGCTGTACAATCCAGGTACATAGGAATGGGCTGAAAAGGGTAAAATAAACATTCGCATAGCATAATATAACTGTGTCAAATTTGATACCCACAACAAATCTGAAGATGTGCATCATATCTTAACAAAATATATTAACTTGAAGTGAAAATAAAATCCAATTATATTGACAACTACATGTATTGAACTTCAAGTTTAAAAAAAGGACAAGTGAAACAACTTACAAAATGCATTCAATATTAACTAAATGAACATACCAGCATCTTCTATTCTTTGAAGAACCTTGAACAATCTTTACTGACACAAGTAATGGAAAGTTTACAGAGGAGTTCCGCACTAACTGTGGGACAAGGCAAGTGTTGTCAAAAACCCAACATTTTTGAGAAAAATCAGAAATTGAAATATTTGTATTCTCTTTTGGGTGTCAACCAACTCCATATAAAAATGTGGTTAATTTGACACCCAAAAGAGAACACAAATCTTTCAAAAAAAAATATTTTTCTTGAAAAAGTTGAGTTTTTGATAACACCATGTCTCACTGTCAGTGCATGGTTCCCATGCTAAATTTACATTACTTGTGTCACTAATGATAGTTCAAGGTTTTTAAAAGAAGAGATGAGTAATTTTAAATTAATGAGTCTTTGAAAATGACTTTGCTGGTTGCATTTGGCTCTCCAACGACTCTTCTAGTCCGACTTGTTCCTGGTGGACTGCTGCTGCCTCGTCTCTTTCTGTTGTTGCTAGCTGAGTTCTCGTTCTCCAAAGGTTCTACAGACGGCACGACAATAATGTCCTGCAGTACCTGAATAGAAACAAAACAATAGTGATTTCGAATACACTACCCCTCTGTTTACAAACACTAACTTATAATGTGGAGGTAGCTATATTTATTATTACCTCTGCTTGAGGCCTCAGCAACCTGTGTTGGGTCCTCCTCACACTTATAAAGTCGTTTATGTCTGGGATCAAAGATTTTAAATCCGTGTCTTCCAGGGCCAAGAAAGTATCCCACTTAATCTTCTGGCCTAAAGCGACATAAAATATTAGTCATACAATTATGGCAGGCATTATTATAACTTAAGTATGGTTTTTGAGTGGGAAAGTCTCTGTTCACACTTTCCTGAATAGATACTATCAGAAAGATATGGAGTTCACTGTAACTTTAACTCACGCAATAGAGCTTTAGGATGGAGTCCACATTTCTCTGAGACTCAACGCAGCCGGAGGCAAACTGTTCAGTGCATGGTCTTGGGGTTGACTATCGTTTCTCGATATTTGACAACAGACCATGCAGGGCCTCTTTAGTGATGGTTCATCATCACAAGCAGTACTGCTAGTTGCACCTTCAGTCTAATCAAAAGAAAAACCAGAGTTACACGAGCACAGATGAAACCAAAACGGTACTTTCTTTATTAGTGTCGTTTGATAATAAACATTAACGACAATCATTATAACACGAGTGATTGTACGCTCGTGCTTGCATTAAATTTGCTCGACAGAATACAAAACAAATAACGTTTGTTAACGTGAACATAACCTAACACAGTAACCTATAGTATTACCTTCGAATGTAGCGCACAAGTGCGCCAATCCCCATGACCTCAGCTTTTCTTCAATTTGAGGGTCCATAATCACTTTAAAAATACAATACTAAGAGAAGACGGGTGGGCAGAATTCCCACTGTAAAAATTTCCGTACTTTTGTACGGAAATGGTACAGAAAAATATTGTACGGAGGTACGGAGAAAAGCACGGAACGTTCCGTACTTGCTCCATATGAACCCATGTAAATGGGTACGGAAAAAAGTACGGAACGTTCCGTAGTTGGCAAGTACGGACGGTCCGGGCAAATTATTGACCAGACATGTTCCGTACTTTTTCCGTACTTTTTTCTCGCAGTGCCTTCTGTGTTCAAATGTTCGGTCAAGGCTCACGTCCGCACACCACGGCTTCGGCGAGGAAAAGAGACAGATTCCCGGTGCAGGAGCCGGAAGACGGAAACTCGCCGCGCGCACTCTCAACATCTTATGATCGTTTTTATACATATTACGATGGTTTTTCATCGTAAGGTACGCATAAATTTGCACATACGTAATATGCATAGATTTCAGCGTAAGGTATGCATGATTTAATCGTATTACGCATAGTTTCTTCATAAGGTACGCATGATTTCATCGTATTACGTATGAATTGCATTGTAGTACGTATGTTCTCATTTCAACGTAAGTTATGATGACCCTTTCATCATAAGAATCTGAGGGTGCGGCGCTGCATTCGGCTTCGGGCCGCTTCGGCGCTTCGGCTGCGCACTTCGGGTATCTCCGAGGGGGTAACCACTCGCGTAATACCCTGTACACAAAAACCGTGTATTACGCGTAATACACGTGGTCGTAATACCTTTTTCGGGTCAAATGTGCCAAATTTTTGCATTTTAAGGCCGTAATACACGTGTAATACCTCCGTAATACAGCGTAATACCGAGTAGTCTGTACACGATTTCTTGAAGTGTTTACCCCCTCGGGTATCTCCGACACGCATTTCGGGACGTACTTCCCGGAGGTGTCGCTGCCATGCGCCGTGCGCCACGCGAGCGGTGCGGCGTACGTCTCCGGCCCACTACGGCACTTCGGGTGCACACTTCGCGTAGCTCCGACACGCGTTTCGGCACGTATTTCCCGAAGCTGTCATCGCCATGCGAAGTGTCCGCGCTGGCCAACAGAGTTTGGTCGCCCATCAAACGCATAGCTGCTGCAGCTACTTCAACCTCACCCACCCATAAATGGTTGTGGCACCCACTTCTCTTTTCTCCGTGCAGCTTTGAAAAGGTGAACTGGATCTGGGATCATTCTTACTTTGGCTTCAGTCGGACTAACAGTGGTGGACTTCAAAGAACCAATCCGAGAACCAGTCACACCAAAAGCCTTCCAGAAGGCCAGGTTGTCCGAACCTATATCACTTATGACAGCACAGGGCTCCAAACCAATTTCTTCTGATCTTTTCGCAACATTCAACAGAATGTCTTTAAAAGCTTCTCCTGTTGCATTATTCACTGTATACTTTACATCAACACTTGTTTGATTTGTGAAGTAGACTGCCACTGACAACCTCCACCTGCGAGCAACACCAGCCAGAAGTATAACAACTCGACCTGTGTGAGTTGGTAAAGTAGCACTTCCAATCATTTTTCTCAAACTCCCATCCCACCGCTCACCTCGTCACACGGTACAAACGGAACCTGGTTTACCCAGGAAGCTAACGGTGAAGGTATAGGCGATTTCCAGGAAGTTCCTGGGAAAATCAGGAACCGTTTTTAGCGTGCAAGTACAATCACACAATCTCTTTCCATATCCCTCATTCGTGGTACCAAGAGTTTTAAGAGATCAAAAAACCCCTCATGTATCCCACTGTCAAATTTGATACTTTGAATTTTGATATCGGATTATACCATCCCGTACCTGTAAGAAGAAAGAAAATTGTGAAATTATATTCTAGAAGTGACACTTAATGCCAGTGATTAATCTGCACTTACGGGACATTCCATGTGAAGTCAACCAGGCCTTAGCCACCATGGGCTCCGATCCGGTTCTCGTTTTCAGGGTTCGTTACCCCTATGGTCCCATGACATAATTGGTACTTGGTTTGGGGTCCGGCCCCCCAGGGGCTGGGCTATGGCCAATTTAGTTTTTTGCTGAAAATCGGAACAACGCAACTTTGGAGGGCAATATCTCAGCAACCATTGGTCGTAGGTCAAATCCGAGACCAGATTTGGAAAGAGGATGAAAAACTGAATCGTTTTTGTCTTTGAAGTTTTTATGTTCAAAAACTTTTTATAACTTTAAAACTTTAGTGAAGTTCTCAAATTAGCGCCATTTCCCAGATCCTCAACCGATTTTGACCCATCTGGGCTTAAAGGATAGCTTAAACCCTTCCCTAAACGAAAATGTTAACCAAAAAATGTGTTCGGCTTCGTTCCCGAGAACGAGCCATTTTCGTGAACCCCTGCAACCACGTATTACACCAAATTGTAGTGACGGCCGCACTCGATACTTTTCGGCTCAAAGCAAGTTTCCGGGTTGCTTTTCTAAGGTCATGGGACCCAAGCGCCTGTCAGGTAGGCCAACAACCAGCAGACCTGCAACGCACTAGTGATGACAGGGTGGCCTACCTTGCCTCTGGAGAGTGGGACAGGCAGCGCACTCTGGGCGATCGGACCAGTACTACACCCCGCCACCTCACCGTGATATCTACACGTGGGGGTGGGTTTTGTTGTTGTTAGTTATTGTTGCACGGCAGGGTAAGGGATGTTTGAGGCGTTTCAGTCAGTATTTGGGTACAAAAACATGTTTGAGTTTTCTGACGTCAGTCCCAGCAGATTTGACAGCACGCTTCAACGGCGAGCCGAACAGCTGACTCTCTCTCCTCCCCTCTCCCCTCATGTACTCCTTCCCCCTCCCCGTTCCCCCGCCCTGCCGCCCCGGACCGGCCGAGAGGCGACTTCAAGCAACCCCTTCGACGTGCCTGTCGCGCAAGGCAGCCTACCCTCTGCTACACAGGCGCTCAAGCCTGGAAAAGAGAGGGATGCCCGAGGCGGGGCGGGGTGGGGCGGAGCGGTTCCAAAGGGTGCAAGACGGCGGTTAATCAATGTTTTCCGAAACACAAGCCGGTTGCATGTCCTGGTGGCCCAGGGCGAACTCGCAGTACGCAATCTGTTGGCTGAAGCTCAGTCCGACCCAAGCCGACTCCTCCAAAAGTGCTCTTTTTTCAGTAAAACCGAATTTAGTGGGTGAAGGATGCAAATACCCAAACTTTTTATTTTTTCTATCGAAAGAGGACATTTTTCTGAGTAGAATGACGCCTCGGGAGCTCTGATACGAGTTGTCTAACAGTCCTCTTTATGGCGTTGAAAATAGCCATTTTTCCCTGAAAAATATTCATTGAGAAAATGTTCTGATTTCACTAAATCGGCTCCACAGCCTTTCTGGTGCATCGTATCTCATTTCCAAGGGCAGTTTTGGATTCACAAAAAAAAAACGCTTAAAATAATGTATGACTGATGAGGCAGATACATCGGAGAGCCGAACAGCAAGGCTTGGACTAAAAAGTAGCTAATTTTTTTAACGTTTTTCGACTGTGCATCTCCACTTTTGAGAAGCTGCACAGCCTAAACGACCCCCATACCCACCTTTTTTGAACATAGCAATCGAAAGGTTTGGGCTACATTTTGCGCAATTCAGATTTGCCTTTCGGGATGTGGGTGTACGTTACCCAAAGCCTTAAACATTGGCAAAAAAATTTAGGGATTTTATTCATTTGTCAAGATTTTAATAGTGTAGGGCACTCGAATCTCAAATCCAATTACATATTCTGATTCCCCTTTTTTTTGCGCTTCCAACGAACCCCTCTGCTGTAGCTCAAATATTAACGATCGCACGGTGCAAAACGTAATATCATGTCACTTTCCTAATTCGATTTTAGGTGATTTTTGAAAATACACAAAAACCTCGATATCTCCGGAAGTTTTCGCCCGATCCGACTGAGATTTTGCACAAAATTCTTTCTTGGGGGGTACTATAAGTGACCCAAATTGCATAAAAATCGGAGATGGTCACCTACGAAAGTGGCCTCGTAGGCATGGAATGCCCTTAAAGCAACCTGGAAACCTGCTTTGAGCCGAAAAGTATCGAGTGCGGCCGTCACTACAATTTGGTGTAATACGTGGTTGCAGGGGTTCACGAAAATGGCTCGTTCTCGGGAACGAAGCCGAACACATTTTTTGGTTAACATTTTCGTTTAGGGAAGGGTTTAAACTATCTTTTAAGCCCAGATGGGTCAAAATCGGTTGAGGATCTAGGAAATGGCGCCAATTTGAAAACTTCACTAAAGTTTTAAAGTTATAAAAAGTTTTTGAACATAAAAACTTCAAAGACAAAAAAGATTCAATTTTTCATCCTCTTTCCAAATCTGGTCTCGGATTTGACCTACGACCAATGGTTGCTGAGATATTGCCCTCCAAAGTTGCGTTGTTCCGATTTTCAGCAAAAAACTAAATTGGTCATAGCCCAACCCCTGGGGGGCCGGACCCCAAACCAAGTACCGATTATTTCATGGGACCATAGGGGTAACAAACCCTGAAAACGAGAACCGGATCGGAGCCCATGGTGGCTAAGGCCTGGTTGACTTCAGATGGAATGTCCCTTACATGTTCTGCCTGCGTCAAGGGTGGGTACATTTCCAAAGACACAGACAAGGGGTTTTCTGGGTTTGTTAGAAGTGTCCTCCTAATTGTGGTGGTCCTGTTCATCAAATCAATGATCATGTTTTTATCTAGTGAGGCTGCAGACCACAATTCCACTAAATGCACCCTCAACTGCTCCTGAAGGTCCGCTCCATCAAATTCCTAGCCCACGCTAAGCGAGCGCCCTGCGGCCTCAGGGATCACGGAATCGTAAGTTCGCGTGGCGGCCGCGCGTAGCGCTGCGGTAGCTGTTTGAAACGCCAATACGTTGAGGCGAAGTGAATGAGAGGGAATGTTGGCAATGAGAGGGAGTTGCATTCGGTAACAGGGCGGAAAATTGACAAAACCATACCCTTGAGAAGACCTAATAATCAGATTTTAAAAGAAATTTCAAATGCACTTCCAGACCTGTATGTTGAAAACATCAGCAAGGGGCCGACAAACTGCTGGCTTAACACATTCACGACCGTCTGGGAACACGTGTTCCCGGACGGGAAAAAGTCCAGACGACCATCCGGGAACACCGTTCCCGGACAAATCCGATTTTCCGATTTCGCCTTACAGAATTGTCACGATCATGAGACATATTTTTTTGGAACCGCCTCAACGAAAGACGCAAGTTACTTTTTGAACGGACCTCGTACGATGAATTTGGTACAAGAACACGATTCCCGGACGGTCCTCAGAGACATGTCCAGTTCGGGAACACCGTTCCCGGACGTAAACGCGGCAAGCTAAATTTGGGTATTTTCGGAATCAGCGGATCGAGCCCAGGCCATTCGTTCAAATGTTTCGAGGCACCATGTTAAAAAGACGTTTCAAGAGGTGCTGATCAAATAGAGATAGTTGAAAAAAATATTTTTCTGGACCCGAACCCACCCAAGTCCAGTGGTAAAATGACCCAAAACTTAAATTGTTCACAGTTCCTCTAATAGTTGCCTGAGATGGCTGAAATTTTGTGGGGGTGTTTACCTGTGGTTAAGCACCATTTAAGCCAAAGAGGAGCGAAATCGCCGATGGTCTACTTCCAACGGCCCTCATATGCTCAAATCTTCAGTAAAAATAGTGAAATTGAGAAACTTCGAGAGCCCGTAGCGTCCGAACCCGACGTCGTAGAGCCTCGCGCGATCCGGCATTCGAAAGAGCGCACGTTTTTCTTTCGGAAAAGACACTTTGGTAGATTTTTTGGCCAACAGGTTCCCAGATCCCAAAAAGCCCCAAACCCTCAAAAACAGCCATTTTTAGGGGTTTCGGACCCCTACCAAGAAGCCAATCGGTGTGGGCAGGGGGTGGCAACAGCCTAGCGAGAGCGTGAAGCGATGCTCGCGCCGTCAGTGCAGAGGTTGCGCACTTGTTCGAGATTATGAAAGCTAGACTGTGTTTTTCAAAACACTTAGCACCGATGGAAAGGGCTTGAAATTTAGGGTGCATTAGGCTAATTGTTCTTCCCGAAACTTCCCCCTGACCTAATATTAAGGTGCAGTAAAAACACCGAAAAACACAAATATCATAAAATTGAGGAAAAAACTCGAATGCGGCTTGTTGATGTAAATGATTTCACCCGTGTGTTCGGTTGAATTAGAAGTATCGGGCAGTCTACTAGGCCTAATGCACCCCAAATTTTGTGCTCTTTTGATCTGTGCAAAGCGTTTTGCAATCAACGGGCTAGATCTTACAATCGAAGCAAAATAAGTAACCCCTGCTCTCACTCGCCCATGGCTTTACGCGCTTCCTAGGCCGTTGCCGCCCCCTGGTCCCTTGCAAAATGGAAAATATATGGGCATTATATGGACAAAATATATGGCCCAACATGTATTGACGACATATGTGGAAAAGATAATTTAGCCAGATACTTTTCCGATATAGAAAATATGTGGCAAATATATAAATTTCATACATTGCTCTGTATATGTAGGCAATATATAATGTGAATACACCATGGAGTCTGACGACTCAGAGACTTCCTTTACTATGAGCAAAGAATGTAAACTTCGCCTTGCGAGGACATCAAATAGTGAACCTACCGTGGTCTCCTAGAAGAACTTTTCGCGCTACACCCAAAAAAGACGTTTAAAATTTCCGAACCGTTCCAGTTAACTTGTTAAACAGGATTTCTCAAAATTTCTTGGAGACTTAAACGCATAGAAAAGAACCTTGCCCCTGCTCAATATATGGCGTCAATATATTTTACAAGATAAAATCATGTTGAGAAATATAGCCGCCTTTCAACATCGAGTGCCAAGATTTTAAGAAAAGTTACTTGAAAAGTCTGCCCTCCTCATCCTGCACCATCCCACGACGGGCACCGTGTCAGCTATTGAAACACACATTTCGGGAAGATAATATTATATGGGGAAATATATGCATCATATATTAACGGGCACCAAGATACACCCCCATATATAAACCACGTATGGCGCAAGATAATTTGCAATATATTGAGCAAGATACAATTATATTGACAATGCATGAAACATATATGGAGTCATATATTGACACATATTTTCCATATATTTTCCTTTTTGCAAGGGGTGTGGGATCCGGCCCTATTTGTGTTACGGCAATTCGTATTCACTAGAGGAACCAAAAAAAACGGGAGGGAGCCAGATCTGAGGGGGTCCCCGGCCAAGTGTTTTTTTGTCTTGAGCTGCTCAAATGCCTCGTTGGCTTTTAAGAGTGCGAGTGGACTGCACGACTTCTTTCCAAAGGAGAATGGAAGTGTAAGGTTCTTTTTGGAGTGCTGTCTCGGACCTCTTTAGGCATGGCCACATCCAGGGAAGTGACGTGATGGCCGCGCTTGGCAAGCTCCACCGTCAACGGCGCCATCCACAAGTGGTGGCTCATGGTGTCGACTGTCATGACGGCCAAGATTCGCAGTGGTCTTCCCAGGGCTCCCGAAGTAAAGTCTCCAGGCTGCGCCAGCGGGACAGGGACCTCCGGTGTGCCGATGTCCACCGCACTGCCAGGGTTCGCCGCACTGGCAACGACGTAGACGGTTACGCACAGAACGACCTGTGATACGCGCAACATGGTCCTGCCCGACGGAATGGCGTAATACTGAGACAACGCACGCAACAGCCAGCGGATGGAAGTCCCCCGACACGTGGTGTCTCTGATAAGGAAACAGCGTCTATCTATAAGTGCGAGACTCAAGGCCTGCCGGCTGCACTTGAGGGCAAGATGGTTGTAGAGAAGCCTCGAACACCTTAAACCACGTGATACCCTAGTTTTGCTCGCCGGCCCCCTTTCTCCCTCCCTCCTCTTTGACCACAATGAGCCGAGGGGGTATGCACTCGCGTAATAGTCGGTTCACTCCATCTGTAATAGCACGCGTAATAGTCGCGTAATAGCCGAAATTCTCCAATTTTTGCCAATTTTGAGGTGTTTTGGGGCCGTTTTTAGCTAAATTCTGATTATTTTGAAGCGTAACAGAGCGTAAAAGCGTAATAGTCGGTTCACAGGTTTTGAGACTGCATACCCCCTCGGAATGAGCTAATTTAGCTATGAATTCAAGATATGATTTTGACGTCCCTCCCCCTCCTTTGGGGGTCTGGCAAGCTGACACAAACAACGCCTGCAAACTCAAAGGCAACCCAACAGGCCACCGCGCGCCACTGAAAAAACGTTGTCGTAATTTTACGACATATTTGGCGATGAATGCTTCATAATTTTAGGAAAAAATCATAAATGAACAATTATGAACCTTTCATATTTTGGTTAAAAAAAAGTGCCTGTAAATGCCCAAAAGGTATTCAGGTTCTACGAACCATTCATAAAATAGTGAACCATTCATCGTTCAATTGTTCCTAAATTTACGGTTTTTTAATGGGAAAATAGTGTACAAGAATGGCTCATATAAAACTTTACGAAACATTCGTAAATTTATGAACGATTCGTAAAATTTATGAACGCTCCCTGGCTAATTACCCCTTTTGTTTTCCTACAGGCAGCACCACCTCTCTCCTACGTCGACACAAGAACAGATAGTTCACTGTTGAAAGGACAATAGGAGCGGAAAAACTAACATAATCAGTCTTTTGTAGTTAAAATAAAAAAATATAAATTAATTTATTATCGGTACAATGAAAATCCATAGGGTCGCCCCAGCTTGGACTAGCAGTCACAAGAACAAGTACACGGTAAAAACGGAACCTGGTTTTCCCTGGGAGCTAATGGTGAAGGCATAGGCGATTTCCGGGGAAAAACCAGGAACCGTTTTCACCCTGTAGGAAAGTTTAAATGTATTCAACGATGGCCATAGTATATTTTTGACTGTGCAAATCAGCTAGCGTCGAAAGAAAGTCAAAAGCATAGAGAGAGCGAGTAGCGTGTGGGATCGCATGGAGGAAATGGCAGAGGGAGCGGCGGACGATGGGATTTCGACGAGGGGCACAACGCCCGTCTCGCCCATCTCGATCCAGAACTTCGACGAAGCCTTCAGCGTGCGGTTCAAACTGCCATTCTCGTAGTCCACGTGCACCAGACCAAAGACACGTCTGTAAATGAGAAAGGAAACAGGCACACTGTGAGAAAAAAGTGCGGAAAAAGTACGGAACATGTCTGGTCCATAATTTGCCTTGTTAACTACGGAACTTCCGTACTTTTTTCCGTGCCCATTTACATGGGTTCATGAGGAGCAAGTACGGAACTTTCCGCTTAAAATGTGAAAGAGAAGAAAGATTCAACTGCAGGAGACAGGAGTGTATACCAAAAGAAGCTTCAAGGAGAGTTTGGTACGTAGCGGCAGTTGAAGAGTTCTAACAGCAAGTGCACGTTTACAATTTCCACACTTCCAATGCATGCTTGGCCACCCTGTAGCTCCTGCTACGCATATGCACCAGACAGGGGGAAATTTTCTCAGGTGTGCTTGCACGTAAGTGTGTACTTGGTAGACAGGTTTGCAGAGTATGTCATGACAAGAGGTCAACGAACTCAAGAGTATACAAGGTAGGATTACGCCAGACCGCGTCTTGTCGTAACAGGCTTCGCGATGTCTCGCTGCCTGTTCCTACAATCCGCGCCTGGCGTACCTAGCTTGGCCTGCGGCGCTAGCCTGCCTTCGGCAGGCAATGGCTTGTCTGTCGTCGGTTACTTCTAACTTGTTTCTTTCTGGGGGGCTGGACCCCCCTTCATTCTAGATAGACTTGCTTCATCTTCAAATAACACGATCTTGACCCTTGGAACTTTTTAACTTTGTTGGGGCTGGGGGGCTCCGCCCCCCAGGCCCCCCCTTTTTTTTTAAGACACAAGAGATCTGCCTACGGAAAACTCGATTTTTCCCCGTTTTTTATGTGTTTTTTGGCTATAAAAACTGAACCAGTTGAGCTAGGATGGTGAAATTTCGCGTGTGCCGAGCCAAGGACATACCCAAAAAGTGTGCAAAATCTCACCGAGATCGGCCGAGCCGTTCAGGAGGAGTAGTGCGGACACGCACGCACGCACGCACGCACACACACACGCAGACAGGAAAAACTTTTCAACCCCACCTGAGTAACGGGCTTCGCTATCGCTCAGCCAACAAGACGCGCTCCAGGTTGGCACATGCCTAGCTTGAACACTCGAGGCGCTGATCAAGTCCGGTAACACATTCCTGTGTGTCCATCGCTTTAACTAGTAAATAGGGCTCCAACACAAGGCAAATGTCAGGGGGCGGCAACGGCCTAGGAAGCGCGTGAAGCCATGCACGAGTGAGGTGCAGGGGTTACTTATTTTGCTTCGATTGTAAGATCTAGCCCGTTAATTGCAAAACGCTTTGCACAGATCAAAAGAGCACAAAATTTGGGGTGCATTAGGCCTAGTAGACTGCCCGATACTTCCAATTCAGCCGAACACACGGGTGAAATCATTTACATCAACATGGCGCATTCGAGTTTTTTCCTCAATTTTATGATATTTGTGTTTTTCGGTGTTTTTACTGCACCTTAATATTAGGTCAGGGGGAAGTTTCGAGAAGAACAATTAGCCTAATGCACCCTAAATTTCAAGCCCTTTCCATCGGTGCTAAGTGTTTTGAAAAACACAGTCTAGTTTTCATAATCTCGAACAAGTGCGCAACCTCTGCACTGACGGCTCGAGCATCGCTTCACGCTCTCGCTAGGCTGTTGCCACCCCCTGCAAATGTGAATCAAAATCGGCATTTTTTTTTAAGTGTGAGAAAAATTCTTACGTAAGGGAGGGTGGGGCACCTTGTGACAGGGGCGCCAAGTGACACACTGGCCACCCTATGGCACTTTCAGGCATCTTGAGGTGGCTAATCTCAAGGTCTTGTGCTGTTCAAGTGAGGGTGAGACTTTGAACAAAATATTTTAGCACCCAGAATAAAACCAAGAAAATGATTAAGCAAAATCACAGATTTTATGACGTTTTTACAAAATGTTTTCACGCCATTCTTCCAGTAAACGACACTGCCGGTCGTTCTGGCACTGTTAATCAATATAAAGGACCTTTAGTAAGTTGTTTTCGTTGAACCAGCTCAAACATGTGTTTTCATTTCCTTGATGTCAAATTTTAAACGAAACAGAGCCTCTGGGGCAGGTAGTGGAAGACCCACTCTATTTACCGTATTTCAGCGATTTAAACGTTTCAAAACATCGATTTGACAACCGCGAAGTAAATTAATAATTGTCAGCGATTGTCACACAACAAAACATAAATGAGACTAATTTGTTTGACAATTTCATAGAACATTGAATTTGATAGGCAATGTAGTAAAATGCAGTTTCTTGAAGAAAAAGGCGCAGTTCAGAATGGTTCGACATAAAAAAGCTTAAAGAGCCTAAATCGCATGATTTTCAATTAGCTGGAGCGTCGCTCTATGCTGGTTATGTGAGTTATGTGATCTGTCACTAGGTGCCCCAGGCTGGGGCACGAAGTGACAAGTGCAGAGGTCTGCGGGAAGCTATTTAAATAATAGATGTTGACAAAACGCAACAACGTGTTTTTGCGATCAAGGAAGGATCAAAACAACCTTCTGAAGTGTAAGCAGATTCATTTCTCGCACAGTATCGGAGTGAATCCCAAAATCCAAAAAGTGTCACTGCCCCACCCTCAGCATGGTCGAAACTTCCGAAAAACATATATTTGAGTGCTGGTAGAGTTCGTTATTTGACCGTTGTAAATTTTAACTGTGACTCCGCTTGTGCACTGGACTTCGGTGTCGTCTGTTCCTGTTCACTCGCTCACTCTCGTCAGTTTCAAAGAGTATTTGTGTTACAATGCCGGCGAATACTAATCAAGAATTTTTGAGGGCATATTGTACATAGTAACTATCTGCGAAAGTCCAGCGGAAAAACCGCTGACTGAAAGAAAAATAGCAGCATCCAAATGTGTGAAAGTGAACGAAAAAATCGAGGCTGAGAATCAGACTAGTCAAGTTGGCATTTAAGATATGTTGATCAAAGTACTACTTACTTGTAACTCCAACTCCATTCGAAGCAGTCAATGAGACTCCACACACAATACCCCACCATGTCCACTCCGTACTCTTTCACGGTCGTCACCAGCGTCCGCAGGTAGGCCTGGAAAGTTCACCATTAACATGAGAACAGATGTGTTGGAGCAGTGATTTGTTCAGAAGTGTTCTAACTCACACTGTGGTACGCTGCCCGAATCTCGTCGTTCGTCCCAATCTGCTCAATGTCTCCGTAGCCGTTTTCGGCCAGAAGAATAGGTCGCCCGTACTTTTGCCAGGTCCACAAAACTCCCTCTCGCATCGCTTCAGGTTGAATCTTAAGACAAATAGAGATAAAAGTTTTAGGCATTGAAAAACGCGCTGAAGTTAAAATGCGTTTTTATTTAAGCAAAGGTAACTTTCTTCAACAAAAAAAAAAAAAAAAAAAAAGATTTTGAGCTCAAAACATCGTAAGACAAGATAAACTGTCCATTTGGATCCTACTGTAGCCTTCACACATGAAAGACTTGGGTAAGGTTACCAAACATGGATAACTTTTTAGAAATGTCCTGTATTTCAGCTGCAACAAGCGATGACCTAAATTTTCATCGATGCACTCCGAAATAACCACAAAGGCAACCGTCTCTTAAGAACTGAAGAACTGAACATTTAATAACAAATACTTTAAAATTTACAGGGCTTTGAAATTTTGCTGATTTAAGTGATCCATATTTGGGTCTGACCCAAACGTGGATCACCCCCTCCCCCCCTCGCGTTTTGACAGGGGCGGTCCGATTACTTCCGGTCGTCTAAATTTCGAAAGGGTTCACTCTGAAGGTGCCACGAAAAAAAATGTGAGACATTTCTGACGAATGGATCCTTTGTAATAACGCTTTGAATTTTGACTCATAACCTTACCTGAAATCAGGCCATTTTCGGACCCTTTTTCAGAGGCATTTTTTCACTTCCAATTTGTAAGGGCAACTGTAAGATTGATCAGCTCCCCCGCGCGTGATTCTTGTAGTCAAACGTGCAGACCACAAGAAAAACTTCGGAAAAATCAATTTGGTCGATTGGTTAGGCGGTACGGGCTCGCCAACAAAACTGATCCATGATTGGTACCCCGATCCATGTTCGGCACTTTACTCTACAACGCAAGCTGAAAGGGATTCCATTTGAAGTAAGGAATGATTTGCAATGTTCATCTTTTTTCTTCTGTTGAAAATAGTAGACAAACCGGTCATATCTGTCCCCAGGTCGTAACATCAGTTTCGAAAAAGTCAAACTTAACCAAATAGCCCAAGCGACCATTACCCTTGAAAACAGCAGATCCTTGGTTTGTCCTGGCGCAAAATCATACTCTTCGGCCACAAACGTGAGGTCATAGCTCTCCGCCGCGCTATCAGCATTGCCTCGACCGCTGTTCGCATGCTTGTAGGCGACCCGGACGGGGTAGTAGATGTTGATGGCAAGGAAGTCCGCAGTACCTGACGGATCAGCAGAGCGTAAACGAGGGGGAAGCACACTAAAGGGAAGTAGTTCTCTTCAAATTGTGGCAAACTCCGAAGTATCGCGAATTTTCGGCGATACTTTATCACCTCAAAGGAGAGATTTTCTGTATGGGCTTAGCGATTTTAATTTGTATCGCCATAAAAGGTTGAAAGTGTCACCTTTGAATTTGGAGTGGTGAGTATGGCTGGCCATTCCTCACTGGCTGTAATTATTTCTTAATTTCGTCTTACGGGGCGACCCTGGTGAAACTTTCAAGTAGGCTTCAAATTAATCCCAGGAAGTTGAAACTTTGCTTAATTATTAGGTTCATTATGTTGAGTTTCCAAAACAAAATTCAATCCAAAATGTTGAACGGTCTCTGAGAAAAGTAGCTTTTTAGTGTTTTTTGGAACGTTGGGGAAAAATCTTTCTGCGTCTTCCATTGGGACGGAAAGTCTTGAAAATGTTTTTGGGTTATCCTAAAGATGTATAGAAGAGATTTTAGTGACGGAATTTTCAAATTCAACTTCTGTCCTGAGATATGAGTTTTCAAATTTGAACATTTAAAAAAATGAAACTTTTTTCCCTTTTTTCAAACTTGTAGGTGTGTTTAAAAAAAAAAGTAGGGCTGATATCAAGATTCCGTCACTAAAATTTGTCGACAAGTCATCAATGAATAGAGTCCATGCAAGACGACTCATGTAGGTGTCAACCAGGAACGCAGGAAGTCTTTCTACGACAATTTTTTGTCAACTGAGCAAAGCTGTGAAGTTGAGCGAAGAAGCCAACGACAACTGATATCAATGCTGTTTCCTTCCAAATGATAAAGAAACTACCCACTTAGCTTAAAGGTGTTCAACCTGTTGAATCTGAAACCGTCTATGCACATTTTTATCAATGAACTTGGAAAATACAATGTTTTGGACTTTTGGCGATTTTTTCACCAGGGTCCCCCCTTAATACCTTTTTTTGAGAAATGCCGCATGAATAGAGCATTTCGTCGTCGCCAATCGAAGAACATAAAAGAAATAAACCGGAAGCCCGGAAGAAAGGGAATAGGTAGCGAGCCCGGTTTCAAGGAGGAATACTAACAAATATTCTTATTTCCTGAGTCAAAGAATTTTTGAAACAGACGAAAGTGCTTTTGGAGGAGATACGCCTCGTAAAACTCTATAACTAGTCCACTCGCAGAAGTCTGCGGGGCGAGGTTATGTTGCCGGTTTCGTTCTTCTTGATCTTCGATCGGCGACTACTAGAATGTTCACACTAAATGTTTAGGTAGAATTTCGTACGTGCAACGCACACGATTTTGTGCATACGTAGAATATGCATAAAATCATGCGTGAAAACGCACAATTTAATGCACGACGGTACGCAGGTTTAAAATTATGCATCACCACGTACAAGATTGTACATAAACAATTAGTGTGCTCTATTGTTTTTGCTTGGAACTGGAGCAAAAAGAAATTGAGAGTCACCAGTCGCCCATCGCCGACTTCATCCAACTGAATAGAAATCAATGACTCACCGTTCAAGAACTGCTTCTCTTCTTCACTGAATTGTGGAACTTTACTGCCCGCAATATCCTTGACATTCTAAAACAGAAAAGAGGGAGAGCACAGATAACTTCACCATTCCGATTTGATGATAGATGACACTTCGTGATCAGAAAAAGTCGAATGACGATAAGGCAGAGTAAGTTGGCCCGCGGTGAGAGCCCCTTGGCCAAAAGCTAGTTCACAGTCGATGAATTCATTTTGAGCATAGGACGTTCTTTCAACGTAATTTCAATGGCATGTCACGTGATATCGACGTCATTTCACATTATTTCAAGGGAAAACGTACACTAAAATTGAAGTTGTTCCCCCCTCGTCTCCATATCGACTAAAAAGCACGCTTCATTCTGAAGAGTGCTTGTCAAGCATGCTCCAGGCCAGGCCGCTTTGAAGCACTCTCCAGGACCATGCACTCTATTGAGTTGAGGTAAAGTAAACATTTTGCAGAGCTTGTCACAAACTTCTTCCGCCTTACCTCAGGCCAGTCCCCGTATACCACTGGGCTGAGCACCAGGCCGCCCTGGAGGTCGTTGTAAGCGTCGGATGCGTAGACGTCTTCCGCACTTGTTGTGTTTGGTTTAGCAGGAGTTAAGAGGGATGAAAATCCGAGCTGACCTGTAACAAGCGATGAACAGTCCATTGGCATGGTTTGAATTGCCACCGAGTTCTACTTCGGCGTTGGCTATGACGAGTGCAAGGGCTGCAGGTGAAGGGCGGATCCAGAATTGCCCTGAGAGAAGGGCAAAGTGGCATCTTGTGACTATGTTTCACAAGGGCAAGAAGGTGATGGAGGCATATTGCCCGCTCTTCACATCCACCCTTGGGGATTGTGGAAGTAAAGACAAGAGCGAATTCCAGGGAATTCAAGCGAAAACCTGGAACCGTTTTTGCCGTGCAGGATCCCCTGACGTAAAATACAAATGTCGTCAGTGTTAAAATTGAACGGAACGAACGGGACGGCCTATGTTCGCCAAATTGTGTATCCACTTCCCCTGGAATTTGTCTAAAAAAAAGAAGGGTTTAAAGACTCAATTCTTATGGACTTTTCAAATGCATAACTATGCATGTTTTTATCCATAGTTATGCCTGCACGGATACGTCATAAGGTATGTAAGGGAGGGTGGGGAACCATGACCACTTTTTTTGTGCCTCCCTCTACTCCACCGTGTGGTTCGAAAAGTTAAGTTTCCAGCATGAGGGGATTCTTGGGAGCTCCAAAGACCTCTTCCACCCATTGGAACTTGTCTGCAATGCACGGCAGGCTCACAGAACACTGTTAGAAATTCTGTCGTAAATTAGCGACAAAAAAGTCGCTAATTTTCATAGCGACGGAAATCGTTCTTGTACTACTTGTCGTAACTGAACGACTAAAAAAATCATTTCTCTACGACACTGTCGCAATCACGATTACATATTTTGACACCTGAAATCCCCGAAAAAATGGTGAAAAGTTACAATGTGGCTCACTTATTTACAATTTGTGTCGTTAATTTACGCACACTAAATTCTTATGGACTTTTTAAATGCATAAAGACGCAGTTTTTATGCATAGTTATGCATCCTCAGAATCGTCCATATGTTATGTATAAAATTATGCATCACTGTGTACTTTTTATGCATCTTCCTGCATAAAATGTACACAGTGATGCATAATATTATGCATAACATATGGACGTTTCTGAGCATGCATAACTATGCATAAAAAAAGTCCACAAGAATTTAGTGTGCGATTCATAACACAAATTTACGATAAGAGTCGTAAATGTACGACTGAAGTCATAACTGCACGACATATTCCAAAGATAATTTACGATTGTTCGTAAACTTACGATTAAGTCGTAAATTTACGACTTAATTCGTTTTAAAACGAAACGTGTCGCTATCAAAATTAGCGACAAAATATGTCGTACATTTACGACCCAAGTCGTACGACTTGAGTCGTAACAAAATATGTCGTTTAAAAACGACATAATTGTTCTTCAAAATGTCGTAAATTTACGATTGTTTTTAACAGTGAACACTTTGAAAAATAAAACGCAAAGTGGTCATGGCGCCCCACATATGGGGTACCATGACCACCCCGTGGGGCACCTTGACCATAGTATTTTTTTGGCCCAAGAAGTGTACTTTCTATCTGTATTCTCATTGAAATCGTTTATATCGCTGTCCTTACCATCAGGCCAGTCAACTTAACTAAAAAACACTCTCAAAACCTTCAAAGTTTCAAACGTTCTAAGATGCCTTAAAATGGACGGTTTAAAACAGTTAACGCTTTAAGGCTTTCAAATTTCACATCTCAAGCTATGACATGTGTTAACATTTTATGTTTGTCTTGCTAAGACGAATCCAAATTCGTATGCAGTTTTCAATTTGGTACATTTTAAGAAAATTATCGCGGTTACTACACTGCAAACAAGTGAAATAAATGTTGTTTCTCATAATGCCAGAGCCGTCTTGGTGCAAAGTAGCCACGGATCGCCTTCGCGGCCAACTTTTGCGGTTTGGAGCTCATTTAGTGCTAAAGAAGCTACCATTTTAAGTCCCAGTTTCAGAACCATTCTTAATTATCCTGGTCATTCACGATTTGTGATAAAACTAGCTATTCTGCAGCAATTATTCAACCCTTATACATTTTCTGAAGCAAAAAGCAAATTTTCGACGAAAATAAATCATTATCAGACCAAAAAATGAGAAAAAAACACTTAAATATGTATGGTCATGGTGCCCCACCAAAAAGTGGTCATGGCTCCACACAATGCAGTTTACGACTCTAAGGCTCCCCGAGCAAGCAAAAAGCTACTCAGAATTAAATGTGATAATGGATATTTTGCCACAAAGCCGACATTTTGAAAAAAAAAAACCTAGGACATCGAACTTATTTTCTCAAATGAGAGAGTGAGAAATAATATCCCAGATTTGAAATGCACCCAATTTAGCCAAAACGCTGGAGCAAAAATTTTGGCGAGGTGCTATGGTCGTACCCTTGAAGCTAGAAGGTAGGACTCTGGCTGAAAATAGTTAGATCCTATTCTCTCGAAAGTCCGGTCGACCGGTTGCCGTCGGCAAAGTAGTTCCCGAGAGCGAGGGGGGTGGTCATGGTACCCCAGTGGTCATGGTTCCCCGCCCTCCCTTATCTGTGGATGCAAAACTATGAACAAAAAAATGCCACGAGAATTTAGTGTATAGTACGTCCGCATGTCGGCCATGACTGTTCCAATGTTCCTTACCTTCGTGGTTGTCTTCCTTAAAGACGTGGTATGCTGCTGCATGCGCCAGGACCATGTGTTTGATGCACGTATAACGCTGCACGTCGCTGTCCGAATAGATTCCTGACACCTTGTAGAGGTTCGGGAAGTATATACAGTACACGTTGGGCTCGTTCACCGTCACCCAGAGCTTTACCTGATTTGAAACAAACGGATTTCGTCATTTAATCGTGCAGCGTCAAAGAGAATGAAAAAGTCTTGGCCAATACCCAATTTTGGGTGCGGTATACTTTCCCACCCAAAGTTGGATTACTATCATTCACCCAAATTTTGGCGAGGAAGGTTTCATCACCCAATTTTGAGTGATAAAGGGAGTATCAGCTGCCTCTTTGGCCAGAGAGCATTTTCACTACAATTCGCGTGATGATGTTTTTTTTGTTCAAATTCGGGGGGACATAATAATTCCCACCCGAACTTGGGCGATGAAAAACACCTTTACAGGATAAAATTAGGGTGATATACGAAACAGGCAAAGAAGGCCTTCAAAACAACATGGTTTCACTGCGCGTACGATTTCAGAACTAGGACAGTTTTAAGCTTCTTTCCAATCGATACTTAACTTCTTTCACGAAAGGAAAATTTTTCCTGTTCAAAATACTTTTGCCAGAAATGATTATACTGGGTGCACCAATCACAGACATTTCACCTACCTTTCCAGCATACTGATTGAAGACGAAGCGGGCGTATTCCGTGAACTTGGCAACCATCTCCTCTCCCTGCCATCCTTTGAACTGGTCCTCCAAAATTTGAGGGTGGTCGAAGTGGTACAAAGTTGCCTGCGAGCAATAATTTAACACTGTTACAAAGATTTTAAAATTCAAACTGTTTCTTTACTGTTACTCCCAGTGTAATTGGCTGAGCGATAGCGAAGCCTGTTACTCCAGTGGGGTTGAAAAGTTTTTCCTGTCTGTCGGTCTGTCTGTCTGTGTGTCCGCACTACTCCTCCTGAACGGCTCGGCCGATCTCAATGAGATTTTGCACACTTTTTGGGTATGTCCTTGGCTCGGCACACGCGAAATTTCACTATCCTAGCTCAACTGGTTCAGTTTTTGTGGCCGAAAAACACCTAAAAAATGGCGAAAAATTGAGTTTTCTGCAGGCTGGTCACCTCTGTCTTGAAGGAGGGGGGGGTCTGGGGGGCGGGGCCCCCCAGCCTCGTCAAGTTAAACAGTTACAAGGGTCAAGATCGTGTTATCTGTAGTTGAAGCAACTCTATCTAGAATGAAGGGGGGTCTGGAGCCCCCAGCATGCAACAAGGTAGCAGTAGCCGACGATGGACAAGCCAATGCCTGCCGAAGGCAGGCTAGCGCCGCAGGCCAAGGTAGGTACGCCAGGCGCGGATTGGAGGAACAGGCAGCGAGACATCGCGAAGCCTGATACGACAAGACGCGGTCTGGCGTAAACCTACCTTGTATGGTATATGTTCTTATGGTGTGGTTTTTATTAAGGTCTTTAGAACTATTACGTTCTTTGTGCTCATGAGTATCCATTGTGTGATGACTAAAGTTCATTAGAACTGTGTTCTTGTGCTCATGTTTCATGTTCTTATGGTGTGGTTTTTAGTTAAGGTCTTTACAACTATTATGTTCTTTGTGCTCATGAGTATTCATTGTGTGATGACTAAAGTTCATTGTGTGTTCTTGTGCTCATATGTATTATGTTCGTGATTTGAATTGGTTCTGTTGTACAATATTGCGATATTGCTTTTTTTTTGCCTATTTACTCTCAATCCGAAATTCCCGGTCGTTGTACAATACTGTTATTTTTGCCCCGCCCCGTTTATTTTTTTTAACATTCTGATTATTTCAAGCCTCAATCGTTTATGCATTCAATCTGGTAACAAAATATAGACATTGTTAGGGAACTTCCAACTTTGCCTGTGAGTAAGGATCCCTCCGTAACATAAGATTCCGCTAACAGTGCTGTCAGAACGTTACACAATACAATTGTCGCTAAAGTAAAGGTTATCAACTGTTCCAAATATTTTCAAAAGATTCTGAGTACGTTAGTACCGTTTAGGAGGAGTACGTGTCTGGACAGAAGCTAGAAAAATTACTTAATGGCTGAGCGCTAGCGAAGCCCGTTATACGGTCGGGGTTGAAAAACTTTCGCTCGTAAGAGGATTAGCGGCACCTCAGGTACACCTGGCCGACTGCGGCCGATGGGAAGGGGGAGTCCCGTGACGTCACGGTGCACTCGGAGACTCCTGCCATCTGGCGGCCGACTGGCGAACCTTACCGGCGGGGCAAAACCCCGCGGGAATTACGGACGCCGCTGGCCAGTACTCTGTGTTGTTGAACTGTCAGTGCCAGTGTCAGTGTCTAAGTGTGTAAGTGTTCGTGCCGAAATGGAGCCCCAACCCCAGACGCACAAGACTGAAGGCAGGCGGTTAGTACGATTGCCGTTGCTAGTTGCGGAAATGCATGTTTGTTTGTCGCATTATTAAGGCAGAAAAGTGCAAAAAAATGAAGTGTTGACTCTCTATTTTCACTTTTCAGCCTTATTTACAAAAAACTGGAACTCACTTTCTAAAAAAGGCGACGGTGTGAACTAGTTATATGTGTCAAGTATCCTGTACAGAATACCTAAACCTGGAGATCAATTACTTTTCGAGAAAACGTGCGCACCGAAGGTTGGCAACGTTGTTTTTTGGCCGAAGTTTTCTACACTCATAGGGTACTTGGGTTAAATGTCTGGCCGAATTTGGAATCTATAAGGAACACATTCCAAGACAAAATTAAACTCCTTAAGGTTGGAAAGAGTTTTCAATGAAAACTAGGCACTTTAAAAAAAGGGGCTTCAATGGGTATTTATTCCCACCTTAAAAGAAGACAGCTGAGGATGAGAATTCTAAGATTGACAATGCTGAGAATCCGGCCACCAAGAAAGTGGACAGTTCTGGTATGAACACTTTTGCTTTTGCTGAATCCACAATACGAGGAAGAACAATAATTAATACAATTCTTTTTATTTTATTGCAGGTATGTCCAAAAATAAGTTGAGTTTTGATGGGGAATTTTTCAATACCCACGAAGATTCCCCAAATGTAAGTTTTTAATTTCTCTCATTTAAAAATAGTAGCTGTGAATCTTTGGCTAATTTTTATCCAGCTAACTTATTATTTATCTCTACAGGCAGTCGAATTAGCACCAAATTCCAAGATTAACATCACTGCCAAACAATTGAAAGATGTGAAGCGTACACTCAGACAAGGTGGTGCCCTGAAACTGACCGACTAAGTCGCCCGCCCCAGTTTTTAGGGCCTACTTTCTGGGCGACACAGTCGCCTAGTTTCTGGGCGACACAGTCGCCTAGTTTCTGGGCGACACAGTCGCCTAGTTTTAGGGCATCTTGGTCGTAAATACAGAGCTTACTTATGAATGCTGGCCCAAGGCGCCCTCAACCTGAGCACCTTTGGGGTTGGTCCGACCTAATGTAAACCACTGCTGCCCAGATTCGGGGCACCTATTGCGCCTAGATTCGGGGCATCTCTGACGCCACCCAAATGTGAAATCATTGAGTTTATCCATGTGCAGGCAAACTTGTGTGCAATGCCTTGGGCCAGCATAGATAAGTAAGCTCTGTATTTGCGACCAAGATGCCCTAAAACTAGGCGACTGTGTCGCCCAGAAACTAGGCGACTGTGTCGTCCAAAAAGTAGGCGACTCAAGTCACCCTATAAACTGGGGCGGGCGACTTAGTCGGTCAGTTTCAGGGCACCACCTTGTCTCAGTGTAGGTGCAACACTCCCGCAGCTACTGCAAGGATGCTACTCAATTTTGTTTTTACTGAAAGAGCCTTGGAATTGTGCTCAGTTGGTGGAGTGGCTAGAGTAAACCGCACAACTAAGGAAGTTTCGCAGCGTCCTGCTCTTCATGCGGATGGAGTTGAAGCCATTGTTGGTAAGTTCAAAAATATTTATATTCTGACACCATAACAAAGCTGTCTCAAACAAGTCACTGGAAATGGAATATGAAATGAGTCGAGCTGTGAAAGCACCATCATAAAATCATCTGAGGATTTTCATTGTCAAAAGACGGAAATCACTGTGGTTTGAAGTACGAGGACAGATAGTAAATGAATTTACATAACTTTTTTTTGTCCCACAGTGTGTGGTTTTGTTGAGTTTGAATGATGTCCTGACTCTTAAAGTGTCTTGGTTTTGTTTTGTGCCATAAAGTAATTGTCTTTATCTTCTTTAAAAAAAAGGTTCTTTGTTTCAGAATTTGTGACAGTGCGCTCTACTAAGAAAGGCCGTACACGCTCACCTGACTCCGCAATTCGTCAATCCCTGAACAACAAACTTTGTGAGCAACGCGCCGACAAGAAAGCCAGATTGGAGCAGCGCAGAAGTGGCGCAGAGTGACTTCAGATCTATGCTATTATTGTGTTAACCTTATCCCTGTGTTAGCCGCCTACCCTACAGGCATCTAGCCTCTTCTTAATTATTCTGAGTTTTTTCACTGGCACTTAGCCTTTTCTTAATTGGCTGAGCGATAGCGAAGCCTGTTACTCCAGTGGGGTTGAAAAGTTTTTCATGTTTGTCTGTCTGTGTGTCTGTGTGCACTACTCCTCCTGAACGGCTCGGCCGATCTCGGTGAGATTTTGCACACTTTTTGGGTATGTCCTTGGCTCGGCACACGCAAAATTTCATTGCCCTAGCTCAACTGGTTCAGTTTTTATAGCCGAAAAATACCTAAAAAACGGCGAAAAATCTAGTTTTCTGCAGGCAGATTACTTCTGTCTCGAAGAAACGGGGGTCTGGGAGGCTCCGCCCCCCAGCCTCGACAAGTCAAAAAGTAACAAGGGTCAAGATCGGGTTATATGTGGATGAAGCAACCTTATCTAGGATGAAGGGGGGTCTGGGAGGCGGCGCCCCCCAGCATGCAACAAGTTGGGGAGTAACCGACGATGGACAAGCCATTGCCTGCCGAAGGCAGGCTAGCGCCGCAGGCCAAGGTAGGTACGCCAGGCGCGGATTGGAGGAACAGGCAGCGAGACATCGCGAAGCCTGTTACGACAAGACGCGGTCTGACGTAAACCTACCTTGTAGTATATAGTATAATAGTATAATCTCACTTCAGAAGTAACACAGTTTTTATTGCAGTAACTAGTGCGATTAAAAAGTTATCGCATTAAGAGCGCAATAAGTACTGAATGGCATTCACGTGATATCACATTATCGCACCCGACATGTGATAATTTGGACCGAAACCGGCCTGCACGTAACTTCTTACGTTTTTAGCACGATTATGTTTATTGCTGCCACAGATGCGATAGTTTGAAGACCTCCCATTAACCTCTATCCCTTACTCAAAGGGATACTTTGCAGCCCTCTGACAATGGGACTGTCCCTATCCAAAGGGACTGGCCCTTCTATGGGGACCGTCCCCATACGGCGGGGCGGCGAAATATTCCTTGAGTAAGGGACGTTAGGGATTTTCTCCCAAGGCCTTGGGAAGATACAGTTTCGCCGAGCAACCTAAATATTGAAATCCGAGACAATATATGGTGCTCCCCTGCTCAAGCTTACCAACGGCGTCATGTTGTTTCGGAGAATCTCGTCGATGAGGTCGTGGTAGTACTGGACGCCCTCCCTGTTGGGGTTGGCGGCGTTCGTGTCGGGCAGGACGCGAGGCCACGAGATGGAGAATCGGTACATCGAAAGCTGATGCAGACGGTTCAGGCAAATCAATCAGCAGCGAGGGGGCAACCACATTGTACGTATCGGGACACAAGATTTCCTAAGGGCTAAAGATTTCGTTGGATTTCACAAGATTTTAACCTATATTCTGCTCAAAATTAGCTTATTTTTAGCCTTTTTGGAGCAAGATTTCAGATTTCCCAGATATTTGTAGCGCTAAGGGGACACAAGATTTCTAGAGTGGTTGCCCCATCGATCAGCAGTAACCCTTCGGAACCGTCTCCACCGGGGGTGGGGACGTCACTGTCGTTATTTGGGCGGAACACTGGTAGTACGCCCAATTCACGCATTTCAATACGCTTGAAAATTGAACGGGTGAAGTCAATCGTTGACAATAAATAATACCATAGGTATGGGTGTAGGTAAATAAGCTATGTTTAATTTATTATATTAATTAAGGACTTTGTTCCTGCATTGTGCTACAACGTTTTAATTAATTGGTACAAATTTTATGAAACGTTCACCCGCCCAAATACGGCAGTAGTTATGTACAAAAAATGCAAATACATTTAGTGCGCGCCACTGTTTCCAAGGCAACAGCTCCCAATTGGTCACCAATCGAAGACCTTACCGCGAGTCACTAATATAACTTTGCATCAAGTGAACCCTCCTTTGAAGCCCCTAGTGCAACTTGCGATGACTTGCCTTAAGTTCCTTTGCCATCGCGATGTCTTCCTTATACCGGTAGTACGAGTTCGCCGCCACGTCGTGGCCGTGGGGGTCCCCGAAGCCCATCGAACTCAATCTGCCCAGATGCAGCACGTGGTCAGCGGCGCTTTCAGCTTTGCCTGCAACAAGAAGTTGAGGATCAACATTTGCCTTCTGCACTGTACGAAATGAATTCGGAATTAACAACCGTTCACTCTCGAAAAATACCCTACAAACCTTTGGAATTCCTGGCATTATTTTTTATCACGGATTTATTGCACTTTCAAAGTGGAATAGTATTTGAACAAAGTATGATTGAACCGGCAAGACGAGTGCAGCCCAGGCCTAATGGCCTCGTACTTTGAACACGCACTAAATGTCATGGGACATTGTTTGTCCCACGACTTATGCAATTTCAAGCACATCCGACAAAGACACAATTTTGTTCCCGCCTGGTGACACAAATTGTCCGACGCCTTCTGCGAATTGTTCTTTCATTAGACAATTGATCCAGGAAGCGGAAGAAGGGAATAACTTGACTTATCCCCAAATTGAGTTTTTATTTTATTATTGTACCTTAGAATGGTTTACATCATTACACCAAATTATTTGACTGAATTCCAAGCAGTTTAGGAGAAAATCCACATGGGAAAAGGGTATAACTCAACTTAACCCCTTTTTCGGTCTAAATTTCATTGGAAAATGGAGATAACTCAACCTTAGTCTACATGAGTCCGTTTGACAAATTGGCAAAAGGATATAACTCAACTTGTGTTTTTATGAATCTAGTGTAAAAAGAATCAACTCAACTTAACCCCCCCTTAATTTTAAATTTCAATTTGGAAAAAAGAGCTAAGTCCAAAAAATACACCAGAGTAACATACACTTTATGCAGACTATTGTTTTACTTGACTTGTCTCCAAATTCCTCTTTGTTAAGGAAATATAAGGTGAGCTGACTCTGTTTTCCATTTCAACGGAAAGTGACAAGTCGCAGAAATCCTCTACGGACTCCGTAGTACGGAGTGACCTTACACTTTTGATTCTTTTTTCAAAATTTTACTAATGCTTTTTGAAATTATTAACATCTGCAACATTCATTTGTTTTGTTTTAGTTTTCCCTGCTAACAGTTTTTTGTTTCTCCTGAAAAATGGCCAAAATTGAGTTATCCCCTTCTTCCGCTTCCTGGATCAATTAGTCCCGCCCAACGGACACAAAATTGCATCATCGGCTGATGTGCTTAAAATTGCATAACTCGTGGGACAAAAATGTCCCATGACATTAAGGGCGCAAGTCTCGTAGTACCTTCTACAAGCCTCGTTTAACCTTTTTTACTTTTGGTTACAAGTTACTTTTGATGTACTTTTCACTTTTTCTTGCAGTGCTCCTCGAATGAAACCGTTGTCAAGGATTTCTTTGTAATTTCACGAAGATTATTGGTTCAAAGCAAAGAATCTTCGTAAATTTTCGAAGAATCTTTGTGAGGCTACGACGATTGTTGTAACACTTCAGATGAATCTCCTAAATGTCCTAGGAATCTTCGTAAACTACAAAGGAACTTCATCAATTTAGCTAAATTCAGCTAAATTATTATTGCTAGACAAACCTTCGTAAATTCCGAAAGATTTATTCTTTCAAAGTGTGTTAGAGCCTTTCAGTAATAACTAATTACTGTGTTTTTTTAAGCTCTGCTTGAAGTACTGATGATACGTGTTGAAAAACGAACTTCTAGGCATCGAAATCTCAATATGCACACTGAAAACTCAAAGGGGAGAAAAGGACTGGGTCAGAAGAAAATCCCACCTTCATGCGGGGAGAATCATGCGAGAATGTTTTCCCACTTCACATCGCTTGGCTTACCATTCATGCCAAAATTTGGTGAGAATTATGATTCTCACCAGAAAACGGTAACTGGGCCAGGACTCTTACCCTTCAATTTACAAAGCAATGTCCTTAGATTTAACATAATGACTCACCTGACACATTCCAAGCGCCCTCTGTCTGGAATGCTGACACGCCAGCCCCGATCAGCATACCGTCGGGAAGTGCAAACGGATCCGTGGATGAGCCACTCGTGGAGCGGCTATGCACCACTCCCACCGTGCATGCCACCAAGATGAAAAGGCGAATCATCTTTTCCTTAAACGCACAGAACAAACAAAGATTAGTTTTCTTGTATAGTTTTCTCCTACATTTAAGGCGTTTCATCAAGGTTAGGTTAAGTCAGGTTGACCATCTTATAAAATACGCGTTAAAATTTTTGTTTTTGAAGATTTTGTGTTAAGGGGATTCACATTCATATTTCGATACTTAAAATACTTCTTTGTGCTGGTAGCATGATCCTGGACGGCATGGAACAGTCACTTTTCCATTTCATCAAAAAAAGGTAAAATTTGATCTTGAGCGCTAAGTTTCTTCGACAAGAATTAAGACCAGACCTCCAAAAAATTCGGTAAGCTTCACTTCAGCCATCTGTATAGTCCAAACCAAATATATATACCATTAACTTAAAACAGCCAAATAAAAAAAAAAACAAGTTCTGCTGTTTTAAAGTTTGTTTTATTATTATTTTTTTTATTTGGCTGTTTTAAGTTTCTGGAATATATTTTTTGTTCGGACTATACAGATGGCTGAAATGAAGCGTTCCTAATTTTTTGGAGGTCTGGTCTCAATTCTTGTCAAAGAAACTTTGAGCGCAAGATGGAACTTTAGCTTTTCTTAATAAAATGGAAAAGTGACTGTTCCATGCCATCCAGGATATCAGTACCAATAAGTATTTTGAGTAACAAAATATGAATATACCCAAAACACCAAATCTTAAAAAACTAATTTTTTTACGGGCATTTTATAAGATGGGCAACCTAACCTAACCGAGATGTAAGGCCCTTAGACCTTTGGGGCTTTGGAGGAAACTGTACCAAGACCTCGAATGTCTGGATAAATAGCCACATTATACTTCGGGACCAACTTCACATTGATATTAGCTTTGAACGAAGATACTTCGCTGTCCGTGGACTCCGCCGGCCACAGTGTGTGTCAACACTCTAAAAAATAATGGCATTTCTACCACACCGTTGTATAGTGAAAGTACCAACTTCGGTATGGGAAACTGAAGTCCTATAAGAGATTCGGAAAAATCCTATACTTTTCGTTCTTTTACCAACGCTGTATGGTAAAAATCCGAACCGAGTATAGGAATTTGGTTTCCCATACCGGTGTTAGGATTTTTGCCACACTATTTAGTATAAATCCCATATGCTTCTCCAGTGTGATCGGTTTTATCCCACAACATGTTCGTACAACGAACAAGCCGCCCTCCGAATCTTGGGGGCGGGGGCGGCCAAGAGTGTAGCGCCTGCTAGATAGGCCTCCACACCGGTCCGCAACACACCGGGAGGCCTAGCTGCCAGGCGCCGTGGCATGGAGAAAATTCACCGTTCGTCCACATTCACCACGCTGCCCTCGCGGTGGTGCCGAGGGCGTGGCGATTGTGTTCTGTCTCGGCTCGGCGCCCTGTAGGGCTCGAACCAATCGTGAAGCAACGCAATTATATTGTTGGGACGGTTGGGGCGCACGCAGCCATGGCCGCGCGTCGAGATTCTGACTACACTTCGCGTGAACTTGACGAGGCAGCAGCCTACCTGCGAGTAAGTTTTCACTGCTTGAGCTGTTCTGTTAACGACAAGCTCGGTATGATGCAGTAATTTCATCAGCAACTTCGCATTCGCCAACAGGCTGAGATTCGAAGTGTTCAGAGGGACCTGAACAGGATCCCAAACGAGCTTACCGAGAGGCTGGGGTGGCTGAGACGGCTAGAGCGCCTAATCGAGGCTGACATCAGCAGGATGCAAGGTACATGGATTATTTTGTGTTGCCTGGGGGGTAGGCAACCCACCCGACCGCGAAGCTGTCAGCGCACCGCGCAGCCGCGTACCGAACAGTGCTTTCGTCACTTTGTCTCTCTCGCACTTTTGGGGGTGTGAGGGAGACAGAGGGACGGAACCCTGTCCAGAATCGGCCTGTCAAGGACACGGTCCTCTGTTGCGTTTTCACTTGCTTGTCCCTCAGAATTGCGGAGAGCGCGGGTCCAACCCGCTCAGCAAAGGGACAGTGGGGACAGCAACAGCCTGTTCCCTTTCCCATTTCCACGTGACGAGAGGTTTTACCCAAGAGGCCGAGGAGGACCCAACCGTCGCGTGTAGTCATTTTGTTCGGAATGTTCCAAACCTCAGATCAGATACCTTCAACTTCGTCACAGGACGGTACTTTTACAGGTGAAAATTTTGACTGGACAGTGGATAAATAATTATAGTTAAATTATGAAAATGGGGCGATTCCTGAACAAGAATTCCCATTAGTTACAATGGTAAGAGTACTTTCAAAATTTCTATTGCACTGTGTCAACTTGGGAGTGTGTTGTCATAATTTATGACACTTTATGACAGTTCAGGTATGAGAAGTTTCAGGGACTACAATTACTAAGTAAATGTACATTCAAGACAAATTTGGAAAGTGAGCTTATTTTTTTATTGAACACATGATAAAGCTGAAAAAACATTTTTCATCGAATTTAAGAATTAACTCATTCCGTTGGTGGTACTACAACCAAGTCCATCACCGATCATTTATCACTTTGACTTTCGAGTACCCTTGGGTAAGCTTTACAGAGCAATGAAAATACCTGTCTAAAATCTAGTAACCTTATGCAACACACTATAGACACGTAGTGATGTATCTTTTCTGCTATAAATCTTAGTGTGCCGCACAAGGTTACCAGATTTTAGACAGGTATTTCCATGGCTTGGTGAAGCTCACCCAAAGGTACTCGAAAGTTAAAGTGATGAATGATCCATGATGACTGATGAGTTGTCTGTATTAATTCACAAATTACATTATATACATTGTCTAAATGCTTGTCTGTCAACATAAAATACACAGCTGAATAGGAATCATTGTCGTTAAATTATTATCACTAAACACCCTCTAAGACCTCCTACTTCTCTTGCGGCTGGGACCAGGATCCTTGTCTTCTTGAAAGAGCTGCGACTGGCTCATGTCGTAGCCACAGAATTCAATTCTCTCATCCTCCTTCTCATTCTTCTTCTTGTTAGGCTCATGCCCATGCCACTTTGCCACTCTCCGAAGGTAGGTTCGAGCCACCTCTGTGGCTTCTTCTTCAGTGTCTGACAAAAAGAGGGTATATAATTAGCATTCAATTTCAACCATCCACATGCAACATACAAGAGACAAACACTTACCAGCAGCACCCAGCACAACAGCAATTTCTCCTTCCGGATTCCTCAAGTTAAGATTTATAATATCGCCTCCTTCATGATGTCGTCCTCTTGAGTCATGGTTTAAAACCGTAAAAGTTTTCCCATCATCCAAAAAGAGGATAATAAGGCAAACCTCTCCAAGAAACGGATCAACAGAATATTCAGTGGACATTCTCTGCTGCAACAAAATTCAATGTTTATCACTCACTCTGCTTCTGTTCATGTACAGCTGTGGAGAGAATGTGCAATGTTTACTTACTTCCTGTAACTGAGTTATTCGGAGAGAAAAAAACCAAAGACAACGGAGGTGATGGCTTGAACCCAAGAATTCAGCTGGTGTAGATGGCCTCAGACGTTGGAGAGAACCAAATGTGTCGGTGGTTGAAAACTGTGAATTTGACTGTCACCTGTCCGGCCTGGCTGTCAATCTGACCAGCTGTAGCTTCAGCACCCCTTCCCTTCCCCTTCCCCTTCCCCGCCCCCTCCTCCCGTCGTCCCCTCCCCTTCCCCCCGTCCCCGCACTGTACGAGCTTTTTCCACTCGTCGCATTAAAATCAAAACGGAAAAAAATTAATCTCCTAAAATTTCTCTAAAAAATTTCTCTCCGAGGAAACAAAATAAAAATCAAAGCAAAATCTGTTCGCTTGGCTTCGTTTGACCATGGTTTGTCGGTAGCAGAAGAAGAAAAGAAAGAAAAAGGACGCCGCTGCCGAGTCTTCCAGCTGATGCGTCAGCTGATCCCAAGTTCTTTCCTCTCCTCTTCTCGAGTGACGGCAGGCGTATTTGTGCGCCTACAATTCTTATCATTTCTGGTATTGTTGCGCCGCGAGGTGAGTCGATTTATTCTGTGACACAATCATGAAACTTGCCGTTTCTAGCGAGAAAGGAAATGCGTCTCCTGCCTGTTCTGCTTGTCTGTCTTGGAGTTCTGGCTTCTGTAGGCCTATTTAGGCTTTCTTAAGTTTGTTGGGTTATGTTCTTTCCGAAACAATTTCTTTGGTTGACGCGCAGCACGTGGTCTCTTACCATTACCTAGGTTAAGTTTAAACCGCTGGCTTGTTTCTTTCTGTGACGGTATGAAAACCAACCTCCCGATTTTGAGGTTAAGGTGACTTGTTTTTGTCGTGTTATTATGTAGACTGGCTCTCACTTTCCCTCCCACATTTCAAATGCAACACCATTAGTTGACTGTCTGCGTCGCCCTCTTTCTCCAGTTATGCAAGTTTAACCTTTGTCTTATTAATGTCCACAGCAACAACAGTGCAGCTCTATTACTAAGGAGAAGTTCTGCGAGGGTTGCTGATTGGCTGATACTAGCTGTTCCTGGTCCTGGCATTGAGTAGCGGCTGCGCGTGTGGAATTCTCTTCTCATCGCATCCTTCTTGAAATCCTCGTGCCCCAAGGTGAGTTGAGTTCTTGTTTGAAACAATTGGTAACTTACAGTGATCAAGATTGCCTTTTCTTGGGGTGTGCATTGATACTTTAATCAATCTCACTTTAGTTAACCTTAATTTTCCTTCATTTGTCTTCACATTAACATGTTCCTTAGTTAGTTTTGGACATATCCTTATCACATCCTACTCATTTGTTTCAGAGTGCATGTATCATTGTCGCTTTTGTGATCATGTTACGAATTCTCTGCCCACCCACCTGGACCATCGTCAATTTCATCTTTCCCATTTCCGGAATTTTCACTGTGGCTATGAAGGGTGCAGGAATTTCTTCGCAACTGAACACAGCCTTCATGTGCATCTCAACCGCTCCCATGGTGTTCTCCAGAGACGAAGCAACATAACCAGCGCACAAGCTGTTGCCAACGAATGGGGTAAATTTCTGTGCTCTCATGCACCTTGCCGTAAAGAACTTGACAATTTTTGTGACCTTTTAAGGCACATCAAGCAGCATATGGATGACGGAATTCAAGTGACTTGCCCATACCCTGGGTGCACTAAAAGCTACAGCCTTTCTGCCTCATTTACTGGCCATAAGTCTCGTGTTCACAAGGATATTGAATATGCTTATGCACCAAACTTAGATTTTATTGAACAGACTTCCCAGGTCACTGGCCAAGAGCTTTCAAATCCAGAGGCGATTTTAGAACAACCAGTTGCAGTGCCTGATATTTTAATTGATGAAGTTGACTTATTTGTGAGAAACTTTGCAAATTTTTATCTTAAACTTGAGACTCAGTACTTGGTGCCGGTGAGTACCATTCAGTACATTGTTGATGAATTAGACAATATTGACAAACTTAATAATCAAATAGTGCAAAAAAAAATGACAGAAGCCTTTCTTGGTTTGAATATCCCTGGAGAAACTGTCAGCCTGCTCCTTGCCAAATATGGTGAGGCAAATGCATTTCCGAAGGCTCACCTTAAATTGAGTTCTGATTTCCGGAGAAAGAAACTATACAAGACCTATTTAGGATATGTGAGTCCCCGTCAAATACCGCTTGGGATATTTGGGGACAAGAAACGCTATTTTCACTATGTTCCCATTGCTGATACATTGCGTTCTCTCTTAAATGATAAAGACTTCTGTTCTAATCTGGTATGGCCTCAAGGAAGCGATAGTGAAGTAATCTCTGATATTACTGATGGTTCTGTTTACAAGAATAACAAGTTTTTCCAAGAAAATCCTGATGGAATCATAATTATATTATATCAAGATGATTTTGAGATTGTCAATGTTATAGGCGCTGCCAAGAATAAGTACAAGTTAGTAGCTGTCTATATGTCACTGGGCAATTTACCAGTACATCTCCGCTCTCATATCAACAATATTCAACTTGTGGCCCTATGCAGGAGAAAATATTTCAATCAAAAGAAAGTTTTTGGTTTGATAGTCAGAGATTTGAAGAAGATTGAGCAAGAAGGTGTTGTTGTGTCTCCAGGGCGGTGTGTTAAAGCTTCGCTTCTTTTCATTGCTGGTGATAACCTAGGAAGTCACAGCTTAGGAGGGTTCGTAGAGAATTTCAGCAGTTCTCACTATTTCTGCCGTTATTGTCTCATTGAGAGAAAATATTTAAATCCTACTCCAAACTGTGAACATAGAGAGGAAACTGGTGATGATGATGATGTGGAATCAGATTCTGATTGTTCTGAGGATGAGTTATCTGAAATTGGTGATGGTGCTATTGAAAGCGATAACGAAGAAAGTGATGGTAGTGATGATAGCTGTGATAGTGATGGTGAAGACGGTGATGTTGATGCTGCTGATGGTGTTGTTGGTGATGCTCCGCATGTTGCTGATGTTGATGTTGGCGGAGATAGAAGTTCAGTGGATTATGTCCCTGCCACCTTTCCGAAGAGGACTGTTGATTCATACAACAGATCTTTGGTACTGAAGCCTCGCAACAAAAAGTCTTACGAAGGTGTGAAGTTCAATTCTATTTTCAATCAGTTGGGTTATTTCCATGTATGCTCTCCTGGCTTGGCTCCATGCTTGGCCCATGACCTGGCCGAAGGTGTAATCTGTCATGACCTTGCATTATTCACTAGGTATTTTGTCAGAGTGAAAAAGTGGTTTACGTATGACTGTCTCAATGCAAGAATCGAAGCCTTTCCTTTCTCAGGTGCAGATGCCAGAGACAAACCAGCTCCGCTGAAAGAAGATTGTAGTAAGATAACTGGAGGTGCATGGCAAATCTGGACTCTCTTAAGATTTTATCCTCTAATAATTGGAGATAGAATCAGAGATACTCGTGATCCAGTGTGGGTAGCTCTTCTCAAACTACTTGAAATTATGGAAATTCTCACCGCTCCATCAATTCACAAGTCCGTGCTGGCTTACTTGCAGTCCATTATCAACGATTACTTGTACCTTAGAGTGTTATGTTTTCCATCCGCCAAATTGAGACCTAAGCACCACTACCTCACCCACATGCCCCGGCTCATCTACGAATTCTCTGTTCTCCTCAGAAGTTGCACCATGAGATTCGAATCAAAGCATACCTTTTTCAAGAGGGTAATGCGTTTTATTAGAAATTGCAAGAATGTAACACTGTCATTGTCTGAGAAGCACCAACTTTTTCAAGCACTTTTGAGAGAGGGCTCTGATCTTCGGGAAACTTTAACTGTTTCTGATGAAACATTTTATCATCCAATCATGTACCATGAAGAATTGCAACTTGCTGTGTGCAGCCAAGAGTTTACAGGAAACATAAGTGAATGCAGCAGCATAGTTTTCAAGGGGACTCAGTACAAGAAGGGGAATGTAGTGGTTCTGAGGCAGGAGTCTTACCAGTTTGGTGTTGTGGTTGGAAGAATCACACTGCTACTAATTGACGATACCAGAGTTGTCAGACTTCTGGTGGAAACTTTGGAGACTGAGTTCGATGTGCACTTGAGAGTCTTCAAACTGTCCAAAAGACTTGGCTATGAGTGTGTGCCACTTGATCAGCTGCTTTCTTATGAACCTCTCCATGTTTATAATTTGGACACTATCCCATGTCTTAAACTGAAGCATGGTTTGGTGTCATCCAACTTTTCTTAGGTGTGTTGAAAGTCTTTTGTTTTGATGTGGTGAGAAAATCTGTCTCTGTGCTAATTGTGTTGTGTTGTGTGTTTCAGGCTGAAAATGGGGGTCTTCACTGTCAGAGGACGGGCAGCACATCCCAAAGTACTGATCGCCAAGTCCACCTTATCTGATCTGACAACAGCTGCAGCGCTGAAACTCAAGTTGCCAACTGCTACATACCAAGTAAGCAACCTATGTTTTATGAGTTTCCCCTCCCCCTTTCCCTCCCCCTTCCCCCTTTTCCCTCCCCCTTTCCCCGCCTCATTTCCCTCCCCCTCATTTCCCTTAGAGGTCTTAAATTACCCCCTTTTCTCCTTTCTCTCTTTTTAAAAGGATAATTTAGGTTCAAATTTTTTAAATTTCTTTTTAATTTTAATTTTATTTCTTTGCAGGTGTTTCTTGAGAGGAATGGCGCTCTTATTGATGAGGATGAACTATTGAGTGCACTGGGTGAGGCGGACTTGGTTGTGCTACCAGAGGGTGAGGACTTCGCCTCTCTATCAGCACCAGCTGTGCACCTGAATCCGCTGAGCCCACTGACTCCGACACAACATCACTCACCAAATACATCCCAGTCAGGTAAGCAGGAGAACTCTCTAATCAGTTTTAAATATATCTTCTTTATTGTAACTTCCTTGTTTTTCTGCTTTTTTTTTTTAGCTTTTTCACACTCAACTCCTAACATGAGACAGTCAGGATCACTGATTTCATCTTCTATTACCTCTTTTCCGTGGTCAGCTGTACAAGATATGGAAAGGAAACTTCAGAGTGGCACAGCAAACGTCACCAAAGACAGGAAACTGCTTATTCATGAATTGGCTGCATACATGGACAGCAAGAAAGACTATACCAGAGGTACCTGTAGTTTCTTGACCAAAGAACTATATTCAAGATTTTCTGATGCATTCCCAATTGTTGATGCGGATGGCGTGAAACTTAGCTCAGGCAAGGTTGAGTTTTTGGCATCTTTGTACGAGAGGGTCAACTTTGTTAAGCCCAAGCAGCTAAAGGAGAAGAAAAGGAAACGTAGCCTTGAAAAAGAAAATGATGAAGAAGATTTCTTCCTTAGAACTTATTCTCACCAGAAAAATGAAAAATTCGACTCTTATGGCTGCGTTGCATGGCAGCCAACTTTGTCTTATGAAGAATCTGAAGAGGACCAAGAAAATATGAGGAAAGAACTAATTGAATTAAATGAAACTGATACTTATTCTGCAAGAGTTGGACCTTTAATGGAAAAGAGTTACTTCCTCCAGAGAAGTCACATCAACAACAGAACTGCTGAACTTAAGCCTGTTCTCAAATTGTGGCCCTTTTTATATACTCCATGTTTTCTTCTTAAGCATGCTGATATGTTATTGGGGAAAGATGTTCGGAGTGTCTTTGAGAGAACTGTAGAGACTCGAGGAATTTTAATCTACAGGCTTATGAAAAGCCATGTAGTTACCAAAACTACCAAACGGCTTGTGGAAATGAAGGCTCTCATTGACAAAGCAGAGGAGGCAGGATCAAACCTTCGCTCTAATGTACCTTTCACATTAGCCGCCTTCGTGTTGGTCATCCTTCATTTTCAGGAGGACATGGATTCCGTGCTGCGAGTTGTTGATGTGAGTGCTTTGCATTAATCATTTTGAAAGTTCGTTAACTATTTTATCAAATTCTTATTGCCTCATTCTTTTTTATATTTTTGTCTAGCCTGGAACTTCACAAGCCGATTTGGAAGCAATTGATTCAGACAGGCCTATTTTGATAGTGAAAGGTATTGTTATATTTGGTTAATTTCTTTAAATTGATTAGTGACAGATTCTTATTCTTTTGCACTTGCTAATATTTCCTATTTTACAGGACGGTCTCTCTTTGATGAATCCGCTACGGCCCAAATTCTCTGTGAGAATAGCATCCTCATTAGAGAATCATCTGCCGCTAAGGGCTTTTTGTATTTAATCATATGCTACTATGCATATAATTATAATTATGCTTCTGAGGCCCAAGGGTTTTTGGAATTTCTCCAAAGGTAGGCAACCTCATATTTAAGCTCCTTGTTAAATTTGTTTTTCCTCCATTTTCCCCTTTCTGTTTGTTAATTTCTCTTTTTGCCCATTCAGGTTCTACTTGAAAATTAACCCCGAGTCTGGACACAAGAGGGGACCAAAGGCGAAGAAAGGAACGGTAGTCCACCCTAAAGTTCGTAAACTGATCTGCCAAATTGCCCTAACTGCATCAGCAACAGAAAATAGTATTGTGTCATAAACTTTGTTTTTTAACTTGCATGAATTGTTTTTTGAAATTTTCGTGAATTTTTTTAAAAATCAGCAACAGTAGTATTGTGTCAATCAAACTTGTTTTATAAATAGTATGAATTGTTTTTTAAAATTTTCATGACTTTGTCATTAAATTTAATATTTCAACTTCAATGTGTGCAATTTGGTCTGTTTTCCCTGCCATTCCATGAAAGTAACTGTTCCCAAAATATGCAGTTCAATGACAATGTCTGTACAGGGGTAAAGGAATAATTCAAAGTTAAATTGGTAATAGTATTTATTGTCAATTGGGAGGCTCAGAATTTCATTTACTATAAGTTGTGGATTTTTCACCGAGCAGATGTGGAATTTCACCATGCGCACTACTCGGACAATTGCCATGAAGGAGGTGAGATTTGCACCACATGTATAGTACTTTTGCCACATTGGATTTCCACAATTTAGTGCTAGTACCACACGAGTATGGGATTTCTACTGTACACTAAAGCCATTTCCCCACTTCAGCACCTAGTGGAAGTACCACAGGAGTATGGGATTTCTACTATACACTAAAGCCATTTCCCCACTTCAGCACCTAGTGGAAGTACCACAGGAGTATGGGATTTCTACTATACACTATAGCCATTTCCCCACTTCAGCACCTAGTGGAAGTACCACAGGAGTATGGGATTTCTACTATACGCTAAAGTCATTTCCCCACTTCAGCACCTAGTGGAAGTGCCACACGAGTATGGGATTTTCACCACATCAGCGTGTAGTAAAATTGCCATGTCTTGTGTGGTAAAATTCCTATACCGAATAGGTTAAATGCGTCCGATACTTTTATAGGATTTTTACCACAAAATTTTTTAGAGTGAATGTACCGTCAAACTCACCTCACAAGTGCGGCGCAGAACTATCTGAAGTGAATGGAGTCGTCTGCGGTCCATCCATTATATGCAGGCTCAGGTCTTCAGTACATCAATGTTTCGCAATTGCTACCGATATAAATCCTCGCGAAATTCTACGAGTGGTTCCATGAAATTGGTTATCTACCGGCTGTCTGGGCAGGGTGCGTTCAAGTGAGGATCGTCTCGTGGACATAATCATCGCACTTGGCCTCATCTCCTCAGTACACTGCACTGTGAAACATGACACGCATGGCAGTCATGACTGCGTGCAATAGCGGGACCGCGTCACTTGAGCGGGGTTCCCACTTGAGCGGGGGCTTCATCTGAGCGGGTTTTCGTTTGTGCGGGGGCTCTTCAATCGTGGCCTTTGATTCTCAGTGGTAAACCAATCGACGTAATTCATCATCAAACAAAACGGCAATAACGATCCCTTCGGAGTGCTGTACGAAATTGCTGTTCAGCTCAATGTTATGAGCTTCAAAATCGATAAAAAGGCAAGGTGGACCGAAAATCGATGAGGCATTTTGCCACCCCTGTGGCAAAAAGTTACGGAGAAGTCTGATAACGTCTAGTGATAACTCTCCGCAACCAGAACCCTCCATTTCCCGTACCCTTCTTGTCTACCTTCTCCGTATAATGAAGCCTTGCTAGGAGCAGTTGCCAAAATTCGGGGCACTTTTGAAGGCCATAGAACCGCAAGAGGAAAACGTGGAAAAGTCGGCTTTTTTCTCGGTCAATTTATTCAGTGATGTCCCACGACTTATATCTATATCTGAACGCAGTCGAGCTCCCGGTGCAACATTGCAGACAGACCAAAAAGCCCCTATCAAAAGTATAGGGGAAAGACACGGAACGTTACAGAAAACAGCGGGATACGGAACGTTACATTTTCATTCAAACAGGCCTAGTAACTCTCTTGCTATGAATTAAAACACGCCATTTGGTGTGAGCACCAGTTTTAAGATTCGTCAACACGTCCCGAAAGAATCATATCTCTGTTTGGTCTAGAACTGGCCCGGGGAACAGAAAAGCCTTTTAAAATCATGGTCGGACACCGGTAGGGCACCTGAAAGAATTTAGGAGCCGAGTGACGTCACCGATTTCGACCGTTTTTAGTTGAGAAGGCCTCTGGTTTGAGTTGTGGATAACCGACAGAACCTACTCCTTCTTGCTAGACGGGTGATTTGTAATAATTTAGTCTTTAAGTTATTATCATTCTAAGATGAAGAAGGCTGGAGGCTGCAAGCGACGCGCTGAGCGACCCGCCACCAGAGCGCGCGGACCACATCTAAGGGGCATTAAGGACTCCAAGTGACCGCAGACCACATCAAAAGGAGTTGCGTACCTCGAATGAGTAAAGGTAGAGGAAAGAGACTGCCATTCCAGGCGTCCAGAAGAAAGAAACAACGCAACGGGGTTAATGAGGTGAATCCCGCGCACGGGAAGACAAAGACGACTGCCAACTTTGGCCGCCGGAACTGACGGGAGTCCGAGAGCTCGGCAGCCAGCCGACTCCTATTTTCTAATTGCAGACTCATACTCAGTGCAATTATCGGCGATCGGCTCGCTTACTTTACACGTCCTTCTTGTCCATCTTGCTAGTCGCTGCAACCTCTGCGTGAGTCTAGAATGCCGCCAACCGAACAGTGGCGCCCACGGTCGGGCAAATCAGAGGCCGCTGCTTTTTGTCGACACTCTTAGGCTAGGGCTACATATCCGCTCCGGCTCCGCGCCCCGTGCCGGCTCACCTTCGCGTCACTTCTGAAGTCACCCTTGCCGTTAGCGCATCGCTGCCTCTCAGTATTTCCGCTGCCCCGTGCCGCTTTCTCTCTCGTAGTTTTTTCTACGTATCTCAGTTTCGTTGTTTGTTACGACACTCTCGTAGTTTTTTCTACGTATCTCAGTTTCGTTGTTCTACGTATCTCAGTCTTTTCTGGAAGTTTCACCATGGTTGCATCACTGTGTCTGCGAAGAGGTGAGTGTAGTGCCTGTGAAGTGTGTTGTGGGTGGGCTGTGGCGCCGCCGTGCCGTCTCGGCATTCACCTCCAGACCTCCCGTCGTGCATGCTGCAAAATCCGGCCCAACTTTAAATAATCCCGCGCACACACTTAGCGCCTTCCGATCCGTCGCTGCCCCGGGCCACTATGCGCTAAGCGCGGAGGCCGGACAAAATCGACTCTCTCTCTCGGCATTCACCTGGGAGTAGGTGACAACCATGATAACTCGTCTGCCCAGCGCAGGGGTCTCCGACTGGCAGCAAACCCGGGCCCGGACCACGAAAAAGAGATAGAAGATCGGAGCGCGTCGCGTCGGCTACGGAGGTGTGAAGTTCGAGCCGGCTGAGGGGACTCGCCGACACAGAACACTATCTTCCCTTATCCCTCCCCCATATGACTGAGTGCGAGAGAGATGCGGTTGACACGCTTGACAGTGTGCAGCCGAGCGGTGACGAGCTAGCCACTGACGACTGCCCTCGCCGGCGCAGGGCGTCGCTGCACTGTCATTCATTTTGCGATACTTTCACTACAAATTTTTGCGATAAAACCGAGTTTGCGATTCCCACGATTTATCGCATCCCGGAGTGCGATAATTTTGTTATTACACTTTTTTTGCAATAACCACCCCATAATTTTTGCGATAATGGAGCGTTTTGTAGTAACTTTTATCACATTTTTTTCTGCGATAACTTTTTATTGCATTTTCTTTGTAGTCATTATCGCAAAAATGTGATACTTTATTGCAAAATTTAGCTATAAATTTTTTATTGCAGATATTTAGTTGTCATTATAGCAAAAAAATGTGATAAGTTTTTTATTGCAAAATATATACGGTGGTTATCGCAATTTGAATAACAGTGTGGGCGTCGCCACCCGCCAGATCCCTGGCCCAGCGCATTGTAAACAATGACATCTTGCTTGTGCAAGCCGATCCATGGACACGGGCTGCGACCGGAGAAAGGGTCTCGGAGGCAGCCAGCATGGACAGGAACTGGGCACGGCGCACCGCGCCGGCGCTGAGACGGCCGGGGTCGGGTCGGGGCGGTTTCGGTCACAGCTTGCAAAGAGGCATTTTTTTTAAGAAGTCCGATCGTGGAACACGACCGATGCCGATTTCCTCCATTTTTTGGTCAAAGGTAGTCCTTGTGGGTCTAAGAAAGGCCACAAATTTTTTGGGCCGAAATATGCACCGTTCAGATTTTATGGGCAATTTTCGTTTTCTCTGACAACTTTTCACATAATATGAGCAAAATCAACTAAGACGGACCACTTCTTCCGGTGACCCTCTCCGATTTGCCTGATTTTTTGTAGGCTTAATAACTAACTAAAGGAGAGTCTAAAGCCAAAATATAAGGTCCGGCAAAAATTTATTGACCGAGATATGGCCAACTTAAGTTTAACTTTTGGAGGAAAAACACAAATTTGGGTATTTTGGACTAATTTAACACTTTTCATAGTAGAGGGCTAAAATTTGGTCACCTTACGTAAAATTGACCAAGGAACAAGAATATGACCTCAGATTTGACCTCCGACGAATACCTGCAGAGTAAACCCCCCAAAACACCTTCAAAACACCTAAAAAAACAGTTTTTTCTTGGGGTTTCTGGGAAAAATATGTGGACAAAAACTTCTGATGATCTTATCTTGTAGAAAATGACGCGATGAATCGAATGAGACCACGCAGATTTTTATGTCAAACCGTTTAGGAGATATAGCGGATCAAAGTATGCAAATTTTGCCATTTATTCTTTAAAAAATGCAGGTTTTGAGCATAGTTTGACGTTATCTGCCTTCTTGGTGTGTGTGGGTGATCGTATCTTGTAGAAAAAGACGCGCTGAATTGAATGAGACCACGCACAGAGTTGTATCTCAAACCGTTTAGGAGATATAGTGGTTTAAAGTATGGGCACGGGAGAGCTCCTGTAAACACCCGACAAGGCAGGCCCGCCAAACACGCCTGTTGGGCGCGCGGACTACCGTGCCCATACTTTGAACCGCTATATCTCCTAAACGGTTTGAGATACAACTCTGTGCGTGGTCTCAATCGATTCAGCGCGTCTTTTTCTACAAAATAGGATCACCCACACACACCAAGAAGGCAAATAACGTCAAACTATGCTCAAAACCTGAATTTTTAAAAGAATAAGTGGCAAAATTTGCATACTTTGATCCGCTATATCTCCTAAACGGTTTGACATAAAAATCTGCGCGTGGTCTCATTCGATTCATCGCGTCATTTTCTACAAGATAAGATCATCAGAAGTTTTTGTCCACATATTTTTCCCAGAAACCCCAAGAAAAAACTGTTTTTTTAGGTGTTTTGAAGGTGTTTTGGGGGGTTTACTCTGCAGGTATTCGTCGGAGGTCAAATCTGAGGTCCTATTCTTGTTCCTTGGTCAATTTTACATAAGGTGACCAAATTTTAGCCCTCTACTATGAAAAGTGTAAAATTAGTCCAAAATACCCAAATTTGTGTTTTTCCTCAAAAAGTTAAACTTAAGTTGGCCATATCTCGGTCAATAAATTTTTGCCGGACCTAATATTTTGGCTTTAGACTCTCCTTTTGTTAGTTATTAAGTCTACAAAAAAATCAGGCAAATCGGAGAGGGTCACCGGAAGAAGTGGTCCGTCTTAGTTGATTTTGCTCTATGGCCAAAATTGAAAAATCACCTTTCTGAGGCCTCTATGCACTCGATTGAGCTCAAAATGTGGTATCTTATGTAAAATCCCGCGAGGAACACGAATCCGGTGCCCGTTTGTTGATAGGACAACCCAAACAGATGTTATGACTGTTTTTCAGGTTTTGTAGAGGTTTTTACTTTTCTTGGGGTTTTGGTGTTCGGCATCGATTTTCGCCAATCCGATAAGTGGATTTTATAGATAAAGGACCAATCTATCATACTACGAGATAAAAAGTTTGTGTACGCTGCGTGTAAAGCAGTGGCGCTGCAAAAATTGAAAAACCGTCATTTCTGGGTAGTCTTAGATGAGATGAGGCACCTTTCGCGTGACCGTCTCCGCCCCATATTCAGTCTAAATATTGTCCCAAGTGATGTCAGAGTTGGTGTGAAATTTCACCGCTGTAGCTCAAGTAGTTTGGAAATGGCAGCTTTCTAAAGTTTTGCAATCACGTAAGGCATTTACTTTAAGTAGAATTGCGGTAAATGTGAAGACTTGTCACAGATCGGGTAATAAATGAGATAGATGAGTGCGTTTAAGTTCTCTAAGCGTAATTTTGGACAAGGAATCCG